CATCTATTTTAAGGTATACCAAAACGTTTGAGAAACCTCTGAAATGTAAAAGATATATGAACATATTTCGTTATTCCGCCATTACTATAACTTACCCTATGGGAAGTTAAAAAAAACATTATAGCAGCGTTTTTAGGAATCAATTTTATTAAGTACTTCTGCTTCATTTTACAATAATTTACATTATTATCGTTCTACGATAATCGTTGAATCTAGTTCAAGACCATCCATTATTCCTTCGACTAAGATGTATAATTCTCAAGCGATTAGCATGTGCCGAGAAGTGGCATTAAGAAATCTACAATTCTACATTGAACACATAAGTATGCTTGTGCTCTGCGATAACGGTATCGATGCAATAATAACCGATTGTGCACAAGCAATTGGAATAACGTTAAAGTCGAAGAAAAATGCATCAAGCTCGAAAATTGCATTACATGCTCGGTCAACCGCGGATAATGTTGCAGTACATTTTCTTTGAGAATAACAACCCGTCCGCTTTTTAAGCACAACGACTTTGTATTGTTGGGCACATTAAATTAATATCAAAATCATACAATTCTTTAGTTGTGGGCACATAAAAGTTTCTAAAGGTTATATATTGCGACCAGGTATTTTATTACTTCTGACATCAACTACAAGAAGGAAGAATTGCTTCTAGAAATTTTCTTTTTATGATCTAGTGGCAAGAGCTTCGTTTTTGGCTTTGCAACTACAAGGCTGATTCTGATTCAATGACTTCCTTGGTCAGTTTGATATCAAGCAGTAGTGATATCATCGACCTTCTCGAATAGTTTGATATCAAGCAGTCAGTATTCAAGTAGAAAATTAGAAAAATCCAAACCCAATCTTATACAATTTAAATGTGACTAATAATGAAGATACGGATATTAAATCCATTAATATAAGAATGTCTGTACTAGGTAGACCGAAATATTCGAATAATAATCATTAGTCATTATTATATTGCAAAGCTAGAACTTTGACAAACAAAAATTGAGCGACATGAAGGACTTGCTAAAATTCATTGCCCCCGTAAATCATGAATTCTGCAAAAATTTGACAGAAGTTCTAATCATCACAACATGATGTTTGTGTGGAGTTATATATTTGCGTTAAAGCTTTAAATGTTATGATGTTTCAAACAGCATAACATTTATTTTTATGAAGAGCTTTAACGCTAATATATAAGAATTAGGTTTAATACTTTTTTCAGTTGACAACTTGATTAACTCCACAAGTCGTATCAAAACTTTAGCTTTAATGATAATTTATTTACTCACAATAAGTAGTTATTAATCTTATATACCGTTACATGTAACTATATTTTTTCAATTTATATTATAACGGGAATTTTTATAAATTGCATTTTCACTGTATGCACTAAACGGCTCATTTGGGCTTTTATATTGTACGAAGGTTTGTAAAATTTAAGAGCTTCCAACTACAAATTAGATTCAATTTAAAGGGATATATCATTACTAATAGAAAAAGAACAAATAAAGTAGTTGAAAAGTGTATCGCAACAGCTCAAAGTACTCTTAAGTTCTGATTGCTGCTGAAAAAAACGCAGGATTATTATATACCATATCTGCAATTTAAATTTAATTATTTTTAATCAAATTTCATCTAGCCAAACTCAATCAAATGATATCTGTTAAAAATATAGACGAAAACTAAATGGTTAACTATAATTTTCGAGCTGTACTCTCTAAGAAATCTTTCAATGTAAGTTTCATTGAGATTGCATTAGAAATACCTGCAACTGGTTATTAGCCCAATAATCATTAGCTTAATTATGAATTAATTCAGTTGCTAAAACCTCATAGATTTTTATGTCAAAACCATAAATTTAAAATTTTATATTAAAAAAGTGCAATTAAATATAATTAACAAAACGGTGAAAGTTAAGATAAACCAGGTACAAAGACGATATTATTCTACCTTAAAAGGAAATATACTAGTAATGACGATTCGGGAAATAATTAAAAAAATCTATGTTAAAACGCAATCAAGAATTTTCTTTACAGCAGTTAACTTTCTTTCCTGCATTTAAAAACATTGTTGATTAAATAATGAAAAAATATTTGAGTTTATGTATTATCTATAATGTAAATATATTATCTATATTGAAATAGAATATATTGGCTATATATGTTATATTAACATTCCAAAGGGTAAGTTTGTTTTTATCAATACCTACAATTTGCTAATTTTATGTTTTCTCAAGGTTTCAAGCCATTCTGAATCGAATGAGACCAAATTTGGAAAAAGTTTGTGTGTGTGTGAACGGATTTTTTACAATTCTTCGACGTTTTCAAAAATTTAAAATCCGTGAATTTAAAAAATATTATTATCAAAATTTATGCCAAAGTTGCTTTTGTGATGTGATAAGTCACACATTGTCGATTTATTTATTGAAATTTGGAATAATCACCTACAATTTTAGAATTCTTACAATGTAATTAATGTAATCACAGAAAATATAAGTGTATTTAAGAAAATTGGAAATCGCAATGTTTAGATTTAATTGAAAGCAAAATCTTTATTTTTGAAATAAACAGTTGACAATTTTTTCTAAATATCTAAATCTGAATTTTGGTTGATTAAGTCAATTATAACATATCTCGGTAAGTTCATGCAGCTTGCCTTAAGGCTAAATGCCACTTTCAACAATTTTTGTATTTTGATGATGACCAAGAATTTGTTCCAAAACTTTATTTGGTGAATTTTCTCTACAATATTTGCTACTGATAAATCAATGATCAAACAACATATACTTTCAGCTATTATTTTCACAAAATTTTCTTTTTCTCATATTGGGTGATATTATTGGAAATACATGCTTATAATATATCTCATATGAAATGTTATTAGTATATTTTGGTGTGCAAATACTGTGTAATGTTTGTTGTAAATTACTGTACCAAAACCCAACTGATCACGTTTGTCGCGATAAAAATATTTTACGACCCACACATGCTGATATGCTTTTTAGGTAAAGAGAAGCCAATTTGAAATCATGTTTAAATTATCAATCATATCACCATTTAGATGATCAAGTATGTAGTTTTATTGTGGCTTAGTAGTTAGAGCTTTGGCCTTCCAACCAGATGATTTTCGAATAGATACTCACCAGTCTCAACACCAACAGCCTGATGATAAGCTGTACTGATATCGATTTTTACTTGAAAATATGATGGAAAATAGCCTTGAACATAGCGTTTTTTGGCATTGCTGAATCAAAATACGATTCGTCAGTACTAGATAAATTTTAATAATAAAATTTATTAAAAATAGAGAGTTTTGTGGTCATATTTCACAATTTGGTTCTTAACTCTCTCTCCACGTTTTGACTTAATAGATTTGTAATGGATAGCTCATGATCAAATTGGATTTTTCAATGAACATAATATATTAAAATTGCAATGTGGAATATTATAAATAAATTCTTTAAGGATTAAATCATCTGTTTGATTTTTAGATAATCACCTAAGTATGTATTTATAACTGCGTCCTCAAACAGTGAAAATATTTGTTTCTCACATGTAGGAATTTCATTTATACTATTATAATGCAAACGATATAAGCTGAGGAACTTTTTGTTTAATTAATTTTTTTTACACCCTCAACTTATTGATTTTGTGAACAGAATGTCTTTGTAACTAATTTTAAATAGTAGTTGAGAAGCCTTATAAACAACAACAATATTTTTGCATAGTATTAAATTAGTAGAAAACAAAATTACGACATCTACTTATCCGTAGAACGACTAAGTGTAGAATAGATGCATGTAATTTTCCATTTACTTTATACCGAAACACAATGAGATGTAAATTACTATTTAAAATAACGTACAAGAACAATATTGAAAAAGAAAACATATTAACTTGTATGGGAACTCTTGGGTGATTCATGTAGTTACAATAAAATAGAACCTTACATAAAATTCCCAATTATAAATTTAATTAATCCATGAATATAGAAAACATCAGATAATTATCATTTCGTTTATAAATAATAGGTATATGTAATACTAGTGTAATTTAATAAAAAATGCAAAATATAATGATTTTAGTGGATTCTAAATAAAACGAGTATTCTTGAATTAAAAAACTGTAAACAGATCTAGGAAGTTCTAAAGTAACATGATATATAGAAAAAATAAGAAATAGAGTGAGCTTTCAAGTATAAATAATGATTATTATCAGATCAAATCGTTAGTAATCTTCATTTAAAAGCAACGACGACATTCGACATATATTCACTAGGTTTATAAAAACAATAATCCGAATTAAGTACCAAAAGTCCCATTTGATCAAAAAGTTAAATCACAAACAAGAAAAATGTGAATCCAATGAATATAAACTAGTGGTGTATGACATTGTGCTTGAAGGCAAATTGCTGCCATTTTTTGCACATTTAGCTATATATCTCCGAAACCACTGGGTTTGCCTTTGCCCAAATCTAATCACCACTTTTTCTCATCATTACGAATCAGATATTTTTAGAACAATCAGATATTTTTAGCAGAAAATAATACATAAATGAAAGAAAATAATTTCTGAAACAATTTCTAGTTGGAACCAACTTTTCTTACTCAAGTGTCAAACTTGTTTTTTAGTCTATTGAAGACCAAAGAGTCTCAAAACTTATTTGAAAACAATTTATATACAAATGATACGTAGTGAATTTTGAATACATATTTGAATTTGAGATATGCTTCCAAGAAAATATGATATGACTTCTGAATATGAAACAATTTAAAAACACATAAATTGTAATGCTATTTTCTAATAATTATATCTTTTTTTTTCAGGGAAACGATAGAGAACGCATAGTTTTGACCAGCGAGGAAGCAGGATCAGGAGTGATCGACAGAAAAGTGAGGCTGGTGGATGGACCATCGCCGACAACTGGCAGACTACAAATTCTGCATCTCGGAAACTGGAGATCTGTATGTAGCAATTCAAGAAAGTGAGTTTTAATATTTATGTATTTTTTTACCATTTTATTTCATGGGAAATATATTTGCAATTAGTCATTCACATGCAAGGTCGTGTAAAAAAACAGACAAATGCATAGATATAATAGATACATATATAAATACTTTACTTTACTTTTTATCTCTAGACTTAATTCAAACTAAACTAACTAAAATATTTTGGACATATCAACTGAAGTCTAAACTTCCATAGTTCTTCAAAATTATTATTACTTTAGATTTCACTTTATTTCAAAAATGAGAAAGTTTTAGTTCATTAATCTCTAATATTTAAATATGATTAACAAAGTATTTTTATGATATTTGAAGCGGTGCTATGTCTTGCAAATAATATTAAAATAAACAATAATTGCATTGTTTTTGCAATTAATATAATTAAAATATATGCTTATATAATATATATACATACTAATACATCGTTCTAATTTGTTCATTTTTAGTACTTGCTGTTCTCTTTCTCTCTCTATTCTCTTCTCAATTTTCGATAATCTTTGTGTTGCATTATTTGTGAATTAATTTAATAAATAAAATTATAAGTAAGCACAATTAACGCCACAGATTTAATATTTTAAAGTAAAATTTAATTATATTTAATGTATAATTTTGCATAATATTATTCAGTTTACAAATTTCGAATTTTAGTTTTATATTTCCAACGTTTTACACAACTGCAAACATTAAATGCTTTTATTCTTTAGCTGCAGAAAATATTTTTGCTATAAATAACAGTTTTTATAAATATTTGCTATAAAAATTCACAATTATAAAGCACATCAAATAAATACTTAGTTTGTTTTTAAAATAAATTTATTTATTTCACCAAACTTGAACATCTACCTACCTTGATCATATAAAAATGGTGACTTATCGTATATTGAATTTCTTTCTAGTAAAAATTAAAAGTCTCTAGTAAAATATTTTAACTATTTCCTTATCTATGGTTTCAACTATGGCAATAAAAATCACCAAAAATCATAACTACGTTATTTTTAAATAAATCAAAAATAAAGAAATAGGTATATCATACAATCAAGCATCTTTAAAATCTAATTGCAAAAGCGTTTACAATAATAATTGAGAATTTAAATATAATCACATTTGATATAAAATCAATGTTTATTATATGTGATTACAGTAAATATTTCAACTTTTATCAATTTTATTGTTACCTTTTATTAATTTTATTATTATAACTTTACCTTTTTTCTCAAATTTGAATTATGATTGTATGATACGAAAAATTGGAATTATTTTTTAATAATATTCGGTGTTAACATTCCAATAATCTTCGATATTGAGAATATTCAAGAAAACTTATACAAAATATTGATACCGTTTAGACAAACATTATTGCCGATTATTGACCTTTTGTCGATGTTTTCTCAAAAACGGCTGGATTGATTTCAAAAATTTAAAAGCCATTCGATGTATTGCGACGATCGGCCAAGCCGTTTCTCTGTAATTATTAAAAAAGTGTAAAGTTCATTCAGTGTAAACTTTATTCATTTAAAAAAAAAATTCATCAAAGTTTTGAATTTTTACCAGAATTTATTCTGAAACATATGCACGTTATGAGGTGTTTTGTTGGTAGCTACTGATTACAGTTTACGTCGACACTTCAATAAAATACATTTTTGGAAATAGATGAAATCGTGTTAAACAAATTAATTGCAAATATTAAAAGTATATTTGAACCACATTAGCTGGGAATTGTATCGATCAATTTTTAGTGACAGCGAAAATTTTGTATTCGAAATAAACAGTTTTATCTAAATAACTGAATCTCATTCTTTATTGATTAATTTAATCATAAATACGTATTAGGATCATGCAACTTGCCTTACTGCAAAATCTTACTTACCACTAGTTTAATTTCATAATTACTAACTATTTGGTATTTTCCTAGTTGGACGCTGTCAGATTTCGGTACGGTATGCCGCGAGCTCGGTTACCGCGGCGGTCGCTTTTACCGCTGGATGGAGGGTGAACGCCGTGGTACAGGCCACGACCGTCGACCGGCGCGGCTGCTGCTCGAAACCCCTTCCTGCTCCGGCAGTGAAAACTCGTTGCAAGACTGCCGCAGATGGAGGGACAGGCAACTGGGCGCCGGTGTATGTGATTTTCATGGAGACGTCGGTGTGCAATGTGAACAGAGGCATGCATTGGACCAGGCGTCAAAGGTAAGAATTTTTACGGCAAATTATGGAGTTTTTCCAGAAATTAGAATTTTACGATAAAAATGATTAAATTGACATAAATTATTTCTTCTTTGCAATTTCTTGAAAAATCACTCATTAATTAATATATTGATTTTTTTTTATTTATTGGCTTTTGATATACATCATAAGGCCAGATGCCATTCATACAATTGTTCACTATAAATTCTTATTGAATAATTAACTTATAAATTAATTTTAGTATTATTAATAAACTAAAAGAAATTTATAAATATATTGATTTATTTTTGATTAAACCGATCCATTTTTATGTATGCCAAAATGTTCAGAAACCTTCGAAACGTAAAGATATGCAAAATGTTCAATTTTGATCTTTGGAAGATTACTATAATTTGCCCTAAGGGAATCCCTACACGATCTCGACCTATCATATTAACTAGTTTGAATTAATGACATTAGTGGCCAATGACAAACCAGTATTTTTGACGTAACGCATTTCCGTTGCATTTTTGCTATTGTTACCCACTTGAAAGAAGTTTAACTTAAAAAAATGAAACTTATTTTATGTGGAACACATCAATAAGAAAATTTCAGCGCCGTAAACAAAGTAAAGCAGATTAAGGATGCATAAATGTATTTGCAACATTGTAATTTATTATTTAAACCTAAAACATATAAAAATACTTACTCAAATTTTCCCAAGTGTATGATTTTTTAAAATTTCTAGTTTTTTTTAAATTCCTTAACAATTAAAATTTAATCTACCGGCACCAAATCAAATTTGATTTATCCCGGTATGTGATTATTTCAAACAAGTTAATATGATTGGTCGAGATCTAATTTAATATTGTGCATTTAATTAATAGAAATAACGAATCGCACAAATCTAAATTGCAATTAACTCGAAATCATATTCTGGTGTTGTAAATTTAATGGAAATAGCATAAAAAAATTTCAAAAATTTTGCAGATCTTCGAATTTTTAATAAAAAATGACATGAATTGTCACTTTTAATTCATTTGTCGCTAAGTCATACCTAAAAAAAAATTTTTTTTCAATTTTCAACTTTTTTCCATGCTATTTCCATACGAAGTTTAATTGAATTGGGCATTATCTAAAAGTTAATATTAAGAGCTAAAACTTCCAGAGAATTGTTTTTTATCAATTTGGAACCATTTGAGCCCTTGGGAGCAAGGAAATTTGAAAATGTCCATATTAAGGACCACCCTAATATATATATATATATATATATATATATATATATATATATATAATTATTGCTTATACCACAAATTAAATATTGCATTTAATGAATTAAATAATAAATCAGGTATTGCAGTTTTAAAAGATTTAAAATTTATATACAGCGTAACTCTACTGTTAAAGCATCATTGTTCAAAAAAACATACTTGTGAAGCAATATAAAAAACAACGATTATTGGCATAATCCATTTTTTGCGAATTTGTGTTTCCTTCGTCCTGTGAAGCATTTGTCGTTAAACGAGGTTTTTACAATTTATGGTATATGAATTAGGTGTTCTCGTTATTCGAGGTTCTACTATATTTTAAACAATTAAAATAGTGAAAACTTGCTAACAAAATATAACAATTATTTTTCAAGTATTTTTAATTTAATAAAATCTAATGAAAAATGAATTAAAAAAACATGAAAAATTAATTTGTTTGCTATTTTTAACTAATTATGTATATATTTAGGACAGCTTATAGTTCTATTATAAATAAAAATACTATGTTTGGTGTTTATTTATATAATTTATATGATAAATTTCGGTACAAAAATATATTATGTACACAGTGGTTTTCGATTATTTTTAACAAATTGTAACAGGATATTATCTTCAAGATATGTGAATTCTTTTTATGAATGTAGAGTGGTGTCTCTACATATGTACTTATATTTCAAGACTCATTATTTCAATACTCAATATTTATCTCTAGATCACGAACAATTGGCGAGGTTTACGATTTGAGTATGCCGATAGCGAACGTCGTCTTACCCAAGAAAACACTCTCTACATCACATCCTCTCGATCAGTTCTCGAATATGTGGACATCCTTCATGCTGGATCGGGCAGAAGCAGCAACACTACTGCAGGCCTTAGTGTCCTGGGTGTCGCTCCAAACATGCAAAACTTACGAATTACAAATTCGGCATACCATGGAGCAGAAATATTGAACACCGATGCACCAGTTGTTTTATCAAATTGTGAACTGGAAGGGAATGCTGGTTATGGGATCGTTGTTAACTCAACCTATGGACAGGTAAGACAATGGCTGACAATGTTGACTAACGTGATAAAAAAGTACAAAGTTAATATATTTTTTTATTGTTTAAGGTGCTTCTAGAAAACTGTACTGTCGATGGAAATGGTGCAGATGGCATACGCCACATTGTTCACTACACTGATCCCCGAGAATCACGCAGAGATCGCACCGACGTCCACGAGTTCTGCACCCTGCCCACCACTGTCAGTCAGACTTACCCCGTTCGAATATCTGTAGAACAGTCAAAATATTCCAATACTGAAAGAGACTGCGGAAAATACTTCACCACTCGCAATGGCTACGTACTTACACTTAACTTTGTGTTTTTCACAACTGATAAAAACGACACAGCCACTTTGGAAGTTTTTGATGGAACCTCAAGACATGACAAGCGATTGGCCACACTCCTCATAAGAAACAACACTAGAGCACAGAGTGTAACTTCGACAAGAAATAAAATTTACGTGCGGTTCAAAGCTGAAACTAGAGTCGAATTGTTGGGTTTCCTACATCTAACAGCTGGTAAGCAAAAATCATATGACTTAAACATCACCAGAAGCAATATTGCTGACAATAATGGAAAAGGCATCACAGTAGAAAATCTTAGATCTATGGTGCATATACACCAGAGTTCTATATCCAACAATGGTTATATATCTGGATTACACGTAAATCAAGGCGTTGGTGATGTTAATGTAACAGATAGTCGAATCAGTTTTAACAGAGGCGACGGTATAAATATAACTTACACTGGAGGTAACACAAATGTATCACGCAGTTCTTTGAGTTCAAATACACGCAGAGGTTTAGCAATTTGGCTGAATGATACCACAGAAACTGAATATATGAATTTTAATCAAACTACTGTACTAGAATATAGCGAAGTATTTAGAAACTTAGAGGAAGGAATTCTTCATGGTAATTTTTGCGGTCAAGGTTGGATTAATATAACCGGCAATTGGTTTAACGAAAGTATGGATACTGCAGTAGATTTAGGGACTTGTTGGCAAGATAACCAGCAAGGTAAGAAATTAAATCTACAAATTGGACACAATGTTTTTGAGAGAAATAGAAAAATTAGTATCAGAATATATCCTGCTCTAAATATAGAAGGAAAAATAGAATATAATCATATTCGACATGGCGAATATGGAGGAATATTAATAAAAAACCAGCCATTAGAAGAATTCGAAGTTCTTCCTTCTAGAATTGTTTTACAAAATAATGAATTATATAATAATAAAGGTGTTTTTGTAGTTAATTTGGGTACTTCACCTTATAGCCTTGTGCAGTCAATATTATTTACAAGAAATTTTGTCACTGAAAATTCTATCAATGAACCTTTTATAAACGAAGACGGCGCAAGTTTCAGTTTGTTGCCTAGAAGTCGAGTTGCCGCGGCTGTAGTTGTTTCATCTGAAACTGTTGATATCTATAGAAATATTATTGACAATCCAAATTCTAAATATGAGATTGGTTCTCATTTGGAAGATCAGAGTAAGACAATAAACTGTACCTTCAATTGGTTAGGTAAGCGTGATGAAGAACAACTATTTAATAGATTATTTCACAGAAAGGATAGATACAATCTTGCTAAAATTATTTACTTACCTTATCTGCTACACAATAGTAATCCAGGTGCGAATACCGTCGTAGCACATCCCACATTTGTTCCACAATTCAACGTACCGGGTACATATATAGTCGGTGGCGAAGTAGATGGTCAAGAAAATCTTAAACCCGGCGAATATTTTGTAGATAAGGATATCAATATAAGACCAGGCGGTAAGTTGACCTTACAATCTGGTGTTACTTTGAAGTTTCCGCCATCAATTGGAATGATGGTTGCTGGAAGATTAGAAGCTAGAGGCAGAAATATAAATGCTATCACAATGACTTTAAAGCAGCAAACTGTAATGGAACCTGAAGTAGAGAATATGGAAATGGATACAGAAAGATATGATACAGAGACTCAAATAATTGAAGTAGAATCCAAAATTCCTATTCGATTACTAGGTGGAATGACTAATAATGAAGGAAGATTACAAGTAAAAGTTGATAATAAGTGGGGAACTGTTTGTAATTATGGATGGTCGATACGGAATGCGGCTTTAGTTTGTCATCAACTCGGCTTAGTTTTAAATCCCAATGATTGGAATCTTGAACGAAATCAAATTCCGAATGCTGGTACGAGTGAGCCAATTATAATGGCAAATGTACGTTGCACAGAGTTTGATACCGATATCACAAAATGCCGATCAGAAAAAGCAAATGATTTTGAGAATTCTTGTACCCACGAACATGATGTTGGAGTGCGTTGTTACCAAAGTAATTGGGCTGGATTAAGATTGGGTGTTCTTGCAGAACGCGCCGATTTGCAATTCATCACTATTGAGAAAGCTGGATTGCTAGATTATGCCACAAATTCCTTTCAACCAGCGTTGCAGATTGATTTTGCTCGACATAGTTTGGAAAGTATCAGAGTCATAGATAATATTCAAGATGGATTAGGAATTATTTATTCAGACATATATAGTGCTGATGCAGTAAATACGGTTAGAAACTCGGAGTTTTTAAACAATCGAGGCAGCGGCATTAGCGTGAAACAACTTGGTTTAAAAGTTCAGGGAGCAGTTATCGAAAATAATTTAGTAGCGGGCATAAAACATGACCCGGTAATATCTGGATTACAACAAAAAGAACTAGCTGGCTGGTTTAATATGGCTCCAGATTTTAATGTATTAGAATCTAATTATCATCCTATTACGATACCTGAATATGAACCTGCAACAATAGATTTAGAAACCGGTAAAACGATATATCTTCTGACATCTAAGCATGTACGCCAAGAAAATATTCACAAATTTTTTGACGTTAAATGTCAGCCAGGTTATGTTATTGGTATACAATTATTGAATCCTGTTTCTAATAGATCCAGTGAACGAATTTGGATACATGACTCTCAAAATGTTAATTCTCTAAATGAGAAATGGCTTCTGAATCGAGACTTATCTGTTTTTCCGGTTGCTAGTAGTAGTTTTGGCGTTGTGCTAGAATATACAAGTGGAAATAATGCGTTAGGGGGCGTTGTGCTGGTTTTGAGTACTATTCCTGCACCAAGGCAAACTATAGTAAACAAAATTGTCAGAGGTCCTGTGCCAACGTTAACTATTATGAATTCGCGTATTCGACGAAACGTAAAAGGAATGCAGTCGTGGTATTATAATCGATATCTTAATGAACTTGGAGATCATTATTTACGAAAAGGAAATGAAAGCATTAAAATTGTAAACTGTGAGATTGCACATAATTTAGAAGAAGCATTTGACATATATTCTCCTTTCTGGGATGTGCACGAGAGCAATATCTCTGAAGTATCGATCAGTATTAATAATTCTCTAATTACTGATAATGGAAGAGGTATTGTACAGTTTTCACGTGATATGAGAAATTCTAACAACTTATTCCATTACATACTCCAGGATAATTCAATTGAAAGAAATTCAGCTGGTGGCTTTGAAATAAGCCTTCCATACGTTTGGAATTACAATGAAAATTTCACTCATTCAGTTTACGTGAATAATAACACATGGAGAGGTAATAAACAATTTAATTTTGTTATTGATGGTCATTATTCAGCAGTTAATTTGAGCAGGAATTCCTTTACTGATAACCTATGTAAAACAGGCTTGATTTCTATTCGAGGTATGGAAAAGCAAATGAAAATTGATGGGAACGTCATACATCGTAACAATGGTAAATATATGGTTGAATTTAGAGCTGATAGTCAAAGTGAAATATTAGGAGAAGTAAAAGCGATTTTTGCTTATAATGAAATTAGATCTAATAGATTCGTAAAGTTTTCTAAAAGTGATCTTCATCAGCTATATCGTGACCCAACATGTGTCATTGGATTTAATGGTGTACAAAAAGTGCGAGTAAACCGAAATTTAATATCGGATAATGTTTTAGACTATGATCTATTAGCAGGCGTTAAAACAGCAAAAATTAATAATAACTTAGACGTTCGTGAAAATTGGTGGGGTTCTAATAATGCTAGTTTTATCAAAAAACGTATATTTGATTTTGACGATTGGAACAATCATGCCGTTGCTCATTATCGCCCTTATCTAATTGAAGATAGTTTTGACGCTAGTGTTTCTGTAAGTTTTGATGAAGTAACACCCGTGGACCTTGATAACCTAGGAGGAAGACTTTTGCAAAATTTGGTATTATATCGACGGGAAGAACCATATGTTCTTCAATCCGATTTGACTGTAATGCCAGATGTGACACTTACAATTAATGCTGGCGTAGAAATGGAATTCGCACCTAATGTTGGCATCTTGGTTTTAGGAACATTAGTTGCGCAAGGTTTTAGAGGCTCAGAAATAGTGATGAGACCAATGACGTTAAGTTCACATTTTGACAATCGAATTGGTCGCAGATCTATGCGCATTATTGAATTCGACGAAGAAGGAAAGCAGATATCTAAAGTAATAGAGAGAAGTTCAAATGCTGAAGATTTAGATGTTGATGTATTTAAAACATCAGAAATAGACAAGAGCCAGAAAATGTCTGATGAAAATTCGTTTAAAAACCGAAGATCTTTAGAGAGTCTTTTGATGCACGATACGATTAGACTTTGCAGTGCTGGAAATTGTTCAGATGCTGAAGAATATAGTGATACCGCGCAAGGTTTTTTGGAATATTACAATAGGACTACCTTGCAATGGGTCCCTATGTGCGATGACAGATTTACCGAAAGGAATGCTCAGGTAGTATGCAGAGAGCTTGGTTTTGATCCTATAAATGTGTTCTACCAGCGAGACAGACGGATAGAGTACCATTCGAATTCACTTAGTAGAATTTGGTCTTGGCCGGAGCCTTTGCAATGTAAAGGTATGATCACGTTTAAATAAAATATTCACAATTTAGCTATAAAAACATAATCACTTAATATATTTTGTGTGCGATTAAATTAGTTATTGGCAAAGCATTATCACTCTGCAAGGCAGAAAAAACTATTTCACTTAAATTGTATTGCATTAAAAGAACACTAGTAAATTATATTCATACAGCATTTATGAGTATAGATTTATGGTGGTTAAATAAAATTTATATTATTAATTTTAATTGTTTTTCATATAATTAGGAACTGAGGCGCGATATGACGATTGTCCCATTCGTCTCAACGGGCAGCTGTATGGTCATCTTCATACTTGTTCTTGGGATTCAGAATTTGTTTTCATCAGTTGTGGAAGAAGGAATCTGGAGCAACCTTCTGATTATTGGGGTGGTATTAGATTTGCTCATCCAGAATTTGAACATCGATTGTATGAACACAGAGTTCATGACGTGAGAACTCATGGCGTCGTTAGAGCAGCAGAAAGCATTATGGAATTCGTTAAAATCATAGGTAAGTTGTAAATGGAAGGCATTTTTGAAAATGACAAAAAAATGTGTATAAAATTATACATATTCGGTATATGAATAGTTTACTCATACCGGTATACAAATTTTCTGTATGGTTGCATATGCAAAGTGACTTACTTGATAACTATGAAACCAATCTTTGTGTGGTGGTAATTAAAAATGATAAAAAATGAGAATATTCAAAATTAATCTAGAACAGTGAAACTGATATAATATTTGGTTTGATTTAGTTCATTTCATAAAACTTTCGGTATTTTCATGAATTCTTAATTTTTTTTTATAAATTTTACTATGTTAAACTTAATTTTGCTTCAAAGATCTGAAATTATTTACATAGGACGGGAGAAATTGAAATTTTCTTTGTTCGGAAAAATTAAGCATTGGGAAAAGGAAAAGGAAAAATTGGAAAAAAATAATCATATGAAATGAATTTATTCATAATCTTTCATACCAGGCACTCCTGCCTGACTGAAATATGAAAATATATATTATGTTAATAAATAGTTGGGAAAATAATAATAACAATATTTATGTTATTTATTATGTAACTGGCTAGAAATACAATGTCTACCTAAATTCTTTGATTTTCATAGATTGTGTTAAAAAAATATTTATTTATTTACAGGTGCAGGAGTATTACACAATGAGAAAAGTCCAGCAGTTCAATCGATTGTGAGAAGTCCAGCACTTGGTTTTGTCGATATTCAGAAAAGTGCACATCATGGTCTTAATTTAGTATCACCAAGTGCATCTATGGATGTTAGATTTTTAAATGTTGACGAAACTCTTGGTACGTTGAAAAATATTTATTGGCAATTAAAATTATAAATCAGAAATTATATATTTCAGTTTAATAATCGGACGTATTATCATTATAAAACACGAATTGAATGAATATTCATTTTAAAATTCATACATTTTGGCATAATCCTAGCTTTCATTCAGTGGGAAATTTGTTCATTCTAATAAAATAGAAATAACAATAATCCATAGTATGAAGATGTATAAAGAAACTACACTATACTATAAAAAAATCAAAATTGTTATATTTTCTTAAATAAAAATTGCAAAATAAATAAGACAATCATTTTTTGTAAGAATTTTTTTTACTTAGAACTGAAAGTTCTTATTATCTTCATTCGCGAATTGGCGGCATCCGAGTGGAAAGAGTTAAGTTCTGAGAATTAAATAATTTATTGAAGCACTGAAAATGAGCAACTGTCTGCTCTTATATATTGCACAAATATTGTTTGAACGTTTTATAGACCACATTATTTATCAGTTTATTTTAATAACGAATATTCAATTTCTACAAAACTTGTAGTTTAAATTGTTTCCATGTAATTGACATTAACATATTAGTAGTTACATCAAATTATTCCAAAAATCAATTCCAAAAGGAATAAGGCATTGCATGACTGATAATTAGCCTAATTGGTAATTTCTTATAGTTTTTTTTTTATTTGTTTTAGTTATTTTATTGTCTTTTCATAGTTTTGCGATTGATTAACAATTTTAGGCGCTAACTAATATAAAATTTAGAATACTTTTAAATTCCTATATCTAGCAGTAAAAAGTAAAAATCACTCTAAAATAAATTTCTATTTCTTAATTGGTCATTGTTTGCAAAAACTCATATTTATGTCATCGTTTATGGTATAACACGCATTTAACAAAACTGTAACGAAATTGATCACATTTTTAATAAATATTATTACTAAAAGCATTACCAGAAAGTAAGCTTTGGTAAGTAGAATATAATTGATAGTGAGTAATAATATAGCAAATTAAAATATTATCTTATATCAATTTTTACAAAAAAATGCATTTTCATGTTTCCCGCTTGAATTTTTGAAGTAAAACTTCTTTAGGCGCGACTAGGGTGTAAATCCGTACTAATGCAACTGAAGTGCGTTACGGCTCTCGATTAAATCATTTCTATACGGGTCGTATGTGATTAGACCTTGTGTATGTGAATAGACTGTTGTTGTATGCGTACCGGCATCAACGTTGTATGCGTTCCGATATCAACAAAAAAATCGGCATAGCTAAATAAACATTTTAAAGTTACATCGTAGTACAAATCTTGTTTTAATGAAAAATGCCTGAATCAGAATAATATTTTACCCTGTTCCTTGAAAATAATAAATCATATTAAACATTTGTTTCATGAACGAAACGTAAGTTTATTGATTAAAAATTATTTCTATATTATTCGTAGTTTCTATATCTTTGAAGTTAATAAAATCTTACAGCTGTTTAAAAAATGAGAATATATCACCAGCAAAAAAGTAAAGAAAATACAAGCAGTCAATGAATTTATGTTAATTTTAATTACATGAAGTTCTTCAAACACAATTACATGATGAGTGAAGTTGCAAAAACAATATTTGTTTAGGCGTTGTTTAACATAACCCACTGTGTGAACGAATATTATAGAATTGATTAATCAGCAATTACTTCATTAATGAAAGTTCATTTCTAAATGCTAATTACAATGACAAACCGATCGTGTCATATTTGAAAATGACTTTGATTATATTATTGTTTTTAAATATTATGCATATTATTAATGCTATCATAAATATATAATTTATAACTTATAATTTATCATTATATAAATATGTATAATGGTTGACACTAATAAGCGTGTGCATCATAAGTTTTACCATATTACTAATAAACATTGTTCAAAATTGTTATATGATGTATTTATTTTATATGAATATTTATTTATTAATTAAATTTTACTATTTTTTACAGGCGATGGAATCAATGTGGTTTCCCTGACTGGCGAAGGTCGAGAAAGTGACGAATCATCATTCACACCTTTGAAAGATCTGAATCTTCCGTATTCTCTGTTCTCTCTAATAGACATATGTGATACATCCAAAGAAATCATAGTTGAAGAGCGTGTTCTCTTATATTATAAATACGACAACTCTCCAGTGAATTGTGTAAAAATCTTCAGAAGTGCTTATGGAATCAAACCTTTTGGATTTAGATTGCTCCAATTTAATCTATTCAATCGTACCACTGCTCAAGAATATGGACAACCTGATGAAATTACTTTGTATGATGGTGATGTCTATAATGTATCAGCACCTATATTAGGAAAAATCCAAGCAAATGCTAAAGGTGCAGAAAGAAAGTTTTATAAAAGCACGTGGCAAGGATTGAGTGTCAGGTTGTTCGCAAGCGGAGCCAGTGGGACATATGGTTTTATAGCAGAAATTATTACTTTGCCGATTTCAGCAATTGGATTTAGTAAGTATTACTTAATTAGTGTTATAATCAATCCAGTTCATACGTAGAGATACCTATTGCCAAAAAATAGTCTTGCGTGGCATCGTGCCTTGAGACAAATTGCTGAAACTTCCCGTACTGTAATAAAATATTCGAGAAACTTTAAATATTTTTGGAAAAAAAGTTTTTTTGTCTTTCCTAATAACTAATCATTTCTCCACACTCTCATACAAGCAAAATGTTTTTTGAATTTGATGATTCATTCTCTTATTAACTGCTATTTTTTGCACTTTTTGCTCCGTATCTCCTAAACTGCTGGAATCGCATTTGCAAAAAAATAATCAAAACTACTTACCGTCAGTACGAAACAAATATTTTTTGAATCATTCTAATCGTATGCCCGGTTCTCCCAAACACCGAGTTTCCATTTTCTGCACTTTTTGTTCCGTATCTCCAAATCAGCTGAACCTGCCTAGAATGTTTTTTGAATCATTCAAGTGGTTGATCCAATGCTCCAGAAAACGTGGACGAAAATTGTGTCCACACATACATACATCCATTTTTTTCTAAGAAATGCCAAAATCTTCAGAAACCTTAGAAATGTAAGATCTTTAATTATTGATTACAATAACTTATCCTGCGTTAACATAACTAGGTGCAGGTAGTATTTTGCCTTGAGAAAAGTTGCAAAAACTTTATATGTAAATAATGGACTTAATATGAGATTTAGCTATTTAGATGAAATTTTCAGCAGTTTATTTCGACAATAAAGTTTTTTTTGAATGTGATCAGTGCAATCAATGCAATTTCAAATAAACTTAATATCAGTAATTTAATTAATTATAGAACACAAACACGAATTAGTATGTCCCAAAAAAGCACAATATATTATTCCAAACTCTACTGAATTTTTATAATTCAACCACTTTTTGTAGGATTATAATATTTCAGGAAGCTCGCTTAGTTTAGACCATAAACTCTACCCTTTTATGAGTTTTATTATTAAAAACGCGAAAATAAAAAAAAAAATTTTCTTCTAATGATAACAAATATGTTTTCTTTATCCATCGGTTTTAGTATACTTTACGCTTCGATTTTTTCTGACAAACATGTTTTTGCTATTAAAATAATATGGTTAGTTATTTTAGCATATTAATGGGTTTAATATTAAATACCTTGTATCTAAGATCTGATAAACTATAGAAGTACGTTTTATTCCTCGACTTATCTTTGTACAATTAGTCGAAAATTTAAACTTTCTTGAGTTTTTATTGTAATCTGCATTACTTTGGTAATTTTGTTATTATTAAGCATTATCTAACCATGCAAAATCTTCAAGTACATGGTTACAGTGAAGCAAAAGGTGATGAAATAGTACATTTTGGCACAGATATATTTGAAAACCTTATTCTTACAATTATATTCGAAAAACTTCATCGTAATATTTTTTTTTTTAATTTTTATTTTCAATAGCAATCAGAATACATGACTATTCTATGAGCTATTCACTCACACACATACACACACACTTGCAAACACACATATAAATTTATCGGATCAATATTACAATCATATTTAGATAATCACTTCAATAAATGATTCAATTATTCTGTTCATATTATCTAAGGTTCCTCCTTATTATCTTCGGGCATTCTTCAGTCTTCTTGAAATTGATGTCTCAAGAAGCTGAGTGACTATATGGTTTGAATGATGTTGTAGTTTTTGAAAATGTTTTATACTGTTGATTTGTATTATTTTGTTTATAAAATCAATATGAAGATCGTCGTGTAAAGTTTTATTACTAACAAACCACGCAGCATCAGTAATCTGCCTCAACATTTTCGATTGGGCACGTTGCATTAACGCTATTTTGGATTTGCTTGCACAGCTCCACAATTCAATGCCATAAGTCCATATGGGTTTTATTATTGCCTTGTAAATTAGAAGTTTATTGTCAATCGATAAAATTGACTTGCGTCCCAGTAGCCAGTATAGTTCAGCGGTTCTAATTTTTATAGTCTTTAATTTGGCGCGAATATGGTCCTTCCCCGTGAGCCTGGGATCTAAATGCATACCTAAGTATTTGACGCATTCGGTGCTTGGAATTGCTTGGCCATAAAAATGTACTCCTGGGCATGTTGTCTTGTTCAGTGTAAATGTTATATGATTAGACTTGCTCTCATTTATTTTTATTCTCGATTTTTTTGTCCAATCCTCTATAACATTTAGATGCCTTTGTAAAATGTTTGTCACTTGACATTTATAATATTGTAGAATTTTTTTTTTTTTTTTTTTTTTATTAACTCTTTTATTTACAACTGTCCAGTAAAGGACATTTAGTAAATTTAATGACTTTACAATAGTCCGCCAAGAAGGGACATTGTATACTATATTGTCATGTTGTAAAAAACAACTCAGTGGTTGTTTTTTCCTTCCTATATAAAATTTACAATATTTTATTATTGAATAATTACTTATAAATAATGATTAAGTTATTTCTATTTTTTTTTCTAGGAGAGTTGATGGCTTAGATCCAATGGCGCTTTTCTTTTCAATCTTCTTCGATAGTTCTCTGTTATCAATGAGTTTGCTAATGTATTTGGGTGATTGATTAGCTTGTTTCTATACTTCTGCGCTGTTTTTGTTATTACTTCATTTATGGTAGGTGTATTCGTGTCGGCATGAAGCAACCAGTTGGGAATATATTTTGGAGCTCCTAAGGCAATTTTCAAAAATTTATTTCGAAATTTCTGTATAATTTCTATATTAGTCTTATGAGCACTGCCCCACAATTGTATACCATAACACCAAATTGGTTTGAATAAAGTTTTATATAAAAGTAGCTTATTGTATGAGCTTAGTTTGGATTTAGTTCCTAGTAACCAGTAAAGCTTTTTGGTTTTTATCTCGAGCTGTTGTCTCTTTTTTTATATGAGTTCGCCAATTAAGTTTTCTATCGAGGTATATACCGAGATATTTGACATGGTCTTCTTGAGGTACTTGAGTATTTCCTTTTCTTACTGGTGGGCAGGTCTCTCTTCTAAGCGTAAATGTGACATGTACTGACTTTAAGCAATTCATTTCAAATCTCCAGGTTTTGTTCCATTTTTCTAATAGATTTAAATGGTTTTGGAGTAACTCAGATGCAGAACTGGAATCTATGTGGCTGGCTAGAATGCACGTATCGTCAGCAAACGTAGCGATCAAAGTATTAGTTGTTATTGTAGAATAAACGTTTGTTAAAATTAATTACTTGGTATGTCTATATAATACCTGGTCTTGATAAACTTACAAATCATTCAGAAACTAGTCCAATTATAAAATTTTATTGAATTTTGAACATTTGTTTTTAAAAAATACTCTGAGTTGTATTAGACGTGTGTTCGATTTTCAATAATGCGTAATATATACTCGGAAGACTTATAAATCACGTAGAAAACAATTTATTTATTATTGATTAAGTCGATTATTTATATATATATCGGGAAGTTCATGTAACCTGCCTTACGGCAAAATACCACTTACAACTAGCTAGAAATTTTGTTCAATATTTGAACTGTATAAAAACATCTCACAAGTTTCACAGTAAATTTTACTGTTCTTGTAAATAAATAACGCAGGTTAAAAAGTCTGATGGCACGACCATTGGAAAAATTTTCCCAAAAAATCGGAGTTGCAATGACTTAGACATTGCGACAATTGGCAAATGTTCGTATTTATATTGCTATCTTTATTTGTACTATTTTATTTGGAATGATTGATAAAAGTGAACTAATCACCTCTTAAGAATTATTTTGAAAATATGGTACGAATATGGTATTTAGAAGCACCCATATTCACGCAACGAAAAACGAGCGTATATAATGATTATGATGCAGCATTATAGCTCCAGTGATAGTGATAAAAAACTGAACTTAAAGTGATGAAAATAGGTTAATTTACTCATAGTAGTAATTATTAGTTATATTCTAACAAAATTTGTAATTTCCAGATCGCGATGCACAGCACAACCTGACGTATTCTACATTGTCCAACTGTTTGACTGGTGCGTTGTCTTACTCGACCGTCGGCGAGGTGTCGCCCACGCTCAGCCTGGACAAAAACCAAATCCTGGACAACTGCGTTCAACTTTATGGAAACTTCTCAACCTGCAAGGCGGCAATGAAGATCGATGTCCAAAATATGCAGAACATGTATTTCAGGGTAAATATTTATTATGATTTTTATATAGTCTAGACAGCTGCATACCAGTAGAACTTTATCAGTTTATCAAATCCACTTTGGAATGCCTTACATATTTTAATATGTTGATTTTTCATTATCTTATAATTTTTACGCCTATCCTGAAAGTAAAAAGTAAAATTTTAAGAAAAAAAGTAGGTTTTAAATTTATAAAATTCACCAAAGGCACCAAAGACTAATAGCACTGATTTTGGGATTGGCGGAAATTAATGTAAACTGGCATTTTATTAATTGAATAATTTTTCAATCTCTGTCAATCCGTCAATTAATTTTGACATCTTTGAGTTTTTAAGATATTTGATTTAGAAGCTGATTGCCTTAGTTGTATGCCGTATGTCCAAATTGGTTGAATAATGAGGAAATAATACTCTTCATGTCACATTTCGAGCTCCTTCAATCAATAAGTTTTATATAATTTGTTTAAGGAAAATAATAAATTTGTGTTATGTGGGACTATTGAAAATCTTTCATGGCAAAAAATCAACAAGTAATTTGGTTCAGGCTTTTTTTCTTGTATTTTATACCATATCACAAGATTGCAACTGTAAATCTTGTTAACATAGTTTCTTCATGATTTAGGAAAATATTATGTATCACAGTCAAAAATCATATGATTGTCGAATTTGCCTGAATTTCTATTTCCTCGATAATCAAGTTTTAATTCAACACATTTGTGTAAAGAAATGGCATAATCAGAAAATATTTTACTATGTATATGATACTTATCAATACTGATAAAGTATTTATTAAACTATATGTGGATGCCTAGTTTATAGCAGGTATCATTCGAATATTGTAGTTATTTACAAAGTGATTTTTTGGGTAGTTACCAATTTTCTAGATAATTACTATTTATATCGTTAGTACAATGATTATTCAATTTATTATTCACAAGGAAAACTTTTTTGTGCGCTACTTTAAGCACATCGTACATCAAGAGATGGAATAACCACTTTTTTATATCGTCGTAAATTAAATCGATCGCTTTTCCAAACAACGGAATAGAAGTAACTTATGAAATATTTATTTAGTCCCTTGATTCTCTTGAAGATTCCGATTTCGAAGGGTTCATAATGGAAATAGATTGCTCTCAGACCTCTTCACAAATATTGAAGGATAACGTAATACATCTACCAAATTGTGAAAACATATAGGCAATTAATTAAGAAGAAAGTGTTTTTTTATATAAAAATTACTTAACTACAAGTATTGATTTTGCACAAAATCTTAACAATTTTCAATTTCATATTGAACAAGCAAAATTATGCACCATTAATCAGAGTATTATAGAACTTAGCAATGGATATTCTCAAAATCATTCCTGTTTTTTTTATTTTCAATAATAATAGAAAATAGTTATAATAATAGTTTAAAAATACACAAAATGGACACTGATTACGAATAATATTTAATGATTTTTTATCATTTCATTGGTATTCTTTTTATAGTTGTTATAAAGTAATTTACTTTGTGCCCTCTTGCCTTATAAACATTTTACGTTCTGAATTTTTGCTTCGAAGTTTTCTTGTCTGATATATTGAATATATTCTGTTTTCCCCTTAAGTCATCCATCTTATATATTCTCTTCGTCCAGTACTTTTTATAATAATGATGCAATTTAATATTCTCTTTATCTCAAAACATGTTCATCATAGTCCTAGTCTTAGCTGCTTTTCTTCCCGCAGTTTTTTTTATTTGATACAATTGAACCAGAAAATTACTGGAAGTCTCGCAAATAACCAAGATAATTTCAAAATTTAACCATTACTTCCATAACTAACTATTGTACATTTTATGTTATTTCGTGTTTTTTTTCGTGCACCGAGTATAAACTTTGAGATAATTAACAAAAAATTCAAAAATATTTATAAAACTCATATAGAGTAGTTAATATATTTAATAGATAATAAAGAATTTTATATGGTTTCTCTTTCAATTGTTATATTATTACAAATAAAAATGTTAAAGGTTCGTTCAAAATACTTACTATTACTAACCTGTTTATTTTTACCATGTAACAAATTTCTGCCATTTTTGAGTTAAATCGGTTTGAATCATGTGTTTTTCAATTTTTACTACGAAGTTAACAATTATTGTATTATTTCAAAACCCTGCTTAAATTCGTGAACTTTTGATGTTACTTATTACATTTTTCTAAAGAAGGACTTTGCAAAGTCGTTAAATTTTGTAATTTATAAAATATAATTTAACAAAGTTTTAATTCAAGATAACATCGGAAAACTGTAATTAAATTTGATTGTGGTTCTACAAGTATTATTAATTTTTTGGACCTCAAAGTGTGAAAGAATAAAATTCAACTACAATAACCGAAAAATGGTTACAGTCTTACTAAATTTCTAGGTATTTTTCTAAATTCACAATTTTCAAGCAGTATGAGATAGATTATTTTTAATGTTGGTTGCATATGAATTCTGGGATATCCTGTATATTAGGTTGTCAAATATCTCCCTTCCGCCTTTTTGTATTATAAACCAAGAGCAAAAAAGCGGAAGGGAGATATTTGACAACCTAATATTATTGTATTATTGTTATAGTAAGGTGACCTAACGTCTCGGCTTGACCGGCACAGTCCCGGATTTTGACCTTGTGTCCCGGGTTTTGTTAATAGCAATATTTATTCCGGATTTGGACCTTTTGTCACAGAATGTCCCAGGTTTTTGAAAAGAATAGATTTAAATTGATTCTTTGCAACTACTTGATAATAAAATTACTGATCTAATATCTGCAAATGATATAAACAACGAGAATGCTTATATAAAACAATGCGTTATGAATGAGAAAATTGCCAAATAAAAATTTCCAAAGGCGGGTTAAAATAGCTCACACATTAATAATTCTTAACTTTCATTTTCAAGTTTTCGAAAATGGAAAAATAGAACTTTTTACCTGACTAACTGGCGCCAGAGCTAATTTTCTTACTTTGTTACTTTTGCAAAAATTAAACAGAATTTTCTTGTAAACATATAAAAGTTATAAGATACCGCATAATCGAATAATAAAGTTCTGATAAAAGTCAGTAATTCTGATTACTATCTGATTAAAATCCAGATTTTCATTGTATCTTTAAATAGCATTTGCTATTTTAAATAATATTTTGTTATTAAACATAAAGACCCCCGCCCTGTAGCGGCTTAGTATAACAAAAAGGTACCGTCCCGGTTTGACCTAAAAATATGGTCACCTTAGTTATAGATGCTTCGCCCGAAGGCTAGTCCATTGTGTCGGTAACATATACCGTTTTTCTTATTACACATATCATTATTATTATTAATTATCACTATTTTTATTATTATTCACAATTCCAAAATTCTGCTTTCATGCTTTCTGTATTTTATCATCTTGCGAAAGTAGTCAATCACTTGCATTCTTCTTATTCCTAGTTCTTTCAGTCCTTCCAATTTAACTTTAAAAAAGTCGTGCAGCAGACACTGTTTTTGCAATATGGATTCGATTCAGTTTCCTTTTCTTTTTATGGTCGTGATTTATTAATTAATCTGTAATTTCCAGACGGTTCGACATACAATTTAATGTCATCAGTGGATCTTGAAAATGATGATACACTGTAGCAATTACAAGTTTGTTTGCAACTAGCTGTAAGTGGAATTCTGTCTTAAGGCAATTAAGGCATCGTGCCTTAAGGCAAATTGCTGGAACTTCCCGTACCAAAAATTATTATTTTTTTAAAAACGATTAACATTTTTGAAAAAAATTTACTTTGAAAAAATAAGATTTTTGAGAAACTATAAATTGGAAATTTTTTTGAAAAAAATTTTTTTTTTCTTTATTTTGACATATTGTGGAAGATCTGAACTTTTTTTTCAAAGCAATCGTACTGCTTCATCTGCATAGGGACAAAATATAAAGCGCGTAAGCGCCGCGTCGCTGTCTAACGCATAAGCATTGGTACGGAACCCATAGGAATGTTAACAAAATGTATACTTATTGTTAAAATCTCTATAAAATATCTGATAATTTGATGTGCATATGTTCAATGATCATTTTTGACCGCCAAATGGCTCATTTTTTTACTTTTTCCTCCATATTTCCGAAACCGCTAGACCTACCTTCATGAAAATTTTATCGATTCTTCATCTTTTTAATACAAGTGAAATGTCTTTTGAATTATTCAAATCGGACGCTCCGTTCTCTTAAAAACTGAGTTACCGTTTTCGGCACTTTTTACCCCGTATCTTCGGAACGGCTAGACCTGCCTTTGCCAAAAACTAATCAGCACGTCTCCTTATCAATACAAATCTAATGTTTTTTTAATTATTCAAATCGGTTGATCCGTGTTCCCGAAATCGTCGACGAAAATTTGTATCCGCACATACATACACACACGTACATACATACATACATACATACATACATACATACACACACACATACATCCATTTTTTCTAAGGTATGCCAAAATGTTCAGAAACCTTTGAAACGTAAAGATATATAAAAATTTCATTTTCGATTTTTTTGCGATTACTATAACTTGCCCTACGGGAAGTTAAAAATATCTTAATTGTTTATACATTTTTGTTAAACACTTTTTACTATTTCACCTATCTACATAAAAGGATTTTTTTATTATTGTCTTTTTAGTGAATTATTGTTAGTGCTAAATTTTGATGTAAGTAAGTTACCAATTTCAATATCCACTGATGATGACATTAAATTGTATGTTGAAACGTTTGGGAATTAAAGATTAATTTATAAATCTTTGTTTTTTAATATATATATATATATATATATATATATATATATAATTTTAAATATAATTATTTCGAGCGTAAGAACAAGAGAATACTTTTGTACGAATTGAATTTATCTTTACTAATAATTTCTCAACTAATATTTCTGTGGTAAACATTTTTATATATTATTGTTTCCCGTACTTAAAGAACGAGAAAAAATTGAACATAAACTTGAAATACTACTAAATAATATTTCTGTTCGAGAAATACGTTTGGCTTGGTGCCGAATCTTGACCCCGCTAAGTTCGTGCTATTTATTTCACTGTGATAAAAAGTGAACTAATAAAAGTTTGGCAATCGGACCCGTAAATATTTATACAATATACGTTGTTTATTTTCAGAATAACTTAGTACGTGGAAATCAAGGAGGTCTATGGTTGCGGGCGGACTCCCGCGGTTCCGCCACTTCTCTACGCGGTTGGCTTCATAACAATCTATTCACGGAGAATTATAATCTGCCAGCTCTGTACATTGAAGGTCGGTTATTAAATATCTTTTATATTAGTCTTTTACAACAACTCTCTGTTTATTTTAGAGGTTATCAAAAGATTGTCGAAAACATGATTTTATTTTATGATTTAAATCAGATATGATGAAGTAAAGAGCATTTTCAAATACACATCTCTAATAATAATGAATGCAGAGTGCATTTCTATTTTTAGTTTAACATGATTTCAATTCAGAACACTGCGGTAATAATTTTGAAGTGGTAAATACATAACTTTTGAAAATAACATCAGATTTACATTCTATTTTTTGTAGTCAAAAAATATATGTTACGATGTTAAGGTTTCTTGATAAAAAGAAGCAATAATTATTTTGAAATATGATTAATTGAGTCTTGAGGCTTATTTAATTTTGATAAACCAGAATAAATAGCTTTTCAATCTTAAACTGCTTTTTGCAACTGTAAACCTGTAAACTACTTTCACACTCAAGTCGAGAACCAAGAACAACATGGCACATAAAACCTCATAGAAGTACCAAAGCATAGAAGGGGACTGTGACGTCACTTAACGAGCGTTGCCGACAATCGTGGAACACTTCGGATCGATTTTCGTATGTCATATGTCATATGTCACGTGTTTAACCTAAAATTAAATCTTGTGTTTAAAATTGTTGAATTATTGTCAGTCTAAGCAGTTTAACATTGGTTCCTAGAACATTTCTTAATGATTAAACGTAATTTAACAGATGGATTCGATTATATGTACATTTATTCCACAGGGGCAATATTACTAATATCAACATTCTTACACACAATTGTCATTATATTATTGAAATAAAACTATCACCAATAATATTTGAATTGAATTAACTATTATGATCCATAATGTATAATATATAACAAAGCACATGACATATGACATATGACATTTAATTATTTTGGAGTGTTCCACCATTGTCAGCAACGCTCGTTTACAGAGCGACGTCACAGTCCCTTTCAATTTTTTAATACTTTATAAAATGGAAAACATATGAGGACTAGCTGTTTATGTAGTGTAAGGTCTATGTAAAACCTACAACCTGATTTAAATAAAAATTGCCTTATACTTTATAAGTAATTAATCTACAGATAAAATATGTAATTCATTTTTAAATATAATAGCATCTTAAATACAGACCAAAATTCAATATTTGAAAAAATCATCAAATTTTATTATACAAATATTGTTATTCTTTTATTTTTAAATTTATCAAAGCTATTTTTTTCTAGGTCGCCAATCATCACCATATCAAGAAGTCACTATATATAAAAACTATTTTTCAAGGAATGTCTTGCAATACCATGATGTTATAGTTTTGAAGCAAGTTGTTTCAAATTTCTCTTACAACTACGTTAATAGCAACACTGGAGCAAGAATAATGGAAATTTCAGGATTTGAAAAAGTTCGCCTACCAATTTATCAGACTACAATGCACAATGGTTTTTATAAGTAAGTATTTTCATAATATGTGAGACACTAAATACTTAATAATAACTAGCTGTAAGTGGAATTCTGTCTTAAGGCAATTAAGGCATCGTGCCTTAAGGCAAATTGCTGGAACTTCCCGTACCAAAAATTATTATTTTTTTAAAAACGATTGACATTTTTTAAAAAAAATTACTTCGAAAAAATACGATTTTTAAGAAACTATAAATTGGACAAAAAATTACTTTTTTTTGAAAAAAAATTTTTTTAAAAAAAATTTTTTTTTTAATTTTTTTTTTGTTTTTTTTTTTGAAAAAAATTTTTTTTTTATTTTGACATATTGTGGAAGATCTGAACTTTCTTTTCAAAGCAATCGTACTGCTTTAACTGCATAGGAGCAAAATATAAAGCGCGTAAGCGCCGCGTCGCTGTCTAACGCATAAGCATTGGTACGGAACCCATAGGAATGTTAACAAAATGTATACTTATTGTTAAAATCTCTATAAAATATCTGATAATTTGATGAGCATATGTCTAATGATCATTTTTGACCGCCAAATGGCTTATTTTTTTACTTTTTCCTCCATATCTCCGAAACCGCTAGAGCTACCTTCATGAAAATTTTATCGATTCTTAACCTTGTCAATACAAGTGAAATGTTTTTTGAAATATTCAAATCGGACGCTCCGTTCTCTCAAAAACTGAGTTACCGTTTTCGGCACTTTTTGCCCCGTATCTTCGGAACGGCTAGACCTGCCTTTGCCAAAAACTAATCAGCACGTCTCCTTATCAATACGAATCGAATGTTTTTTGAATTATTCAAATCGGTTGACCCGTGTTCCCGAAATCGTCGACGAAAATTTGTATCCGCACATACATACACACACATACATACACACACACACACACACATACACAAAAAAAAAAAAACAAAATTTTCTCACGTCAGAAATTTGTTATTTTGTCGTACAAAATTTATAATTAGTTCCATCAGTTTTAATAAGTTACTAATAAGTTAGTGAGCTGAGTGATCCTCGCCTCTGGGTGCAGGTAGAATTTTTGTTAAAATGATCCCCATTAGTGGGGACATAGTGTCAAACAATGCTGGTGATGTAATCAATAAATCACACAATAATTTGAACACAACGCTATGTTCAGGTATATCAGATACAGCCCGAAACCCGCTGACCAGCTCATGCGACGGTATGACTAGTAAAGTAGAACCAGTGGCTGAACTGTCACATATAATTCCGGAAAATGTCATTTTACAACGGAATGAGTCATTGAAGTGCCTTGAGAATCTGATAAATGAACTGCATATGATTGTCAAATCAAAGTCAAACATACATAAAGAGGTGAAAATAAAAACAGGCAACATAGCGGCCGTAATTAAAAGATTTATTGATTTAGACAACCAATTGTTAGAGGAAAAAGGCCGAACCACGGATGATACGGAAGTTATGATAAATGAAGTGCAATGTTGTGAGACAGCCCCTATAGAAAAAAGTGTACGGCAGGACACAAGCAAAGCCACAAGAAACCGAAACTCACAACATATAAGCAATAATCAGGTTAATGAGAAAAATGGTTTGCCAAGACGTCAGACGATCATAGAAATATGTAATGAAAAAAATCGAGGTAAATGACTGGCATAAAGTTCAGCCGAGAAAACAGAAAAAAAGGAAGCAAGGTACATCTGTCAGAACAGGACTCTAACCATAAAATGATAAAAAATCATAGAATTTTTCCAAAACCAAATGCCTTATTAATCCGGCCGACCGAAAAAGTTAATTATTCCGAAATATTACGTCGCATCAAACATGATGTCCCTGATGACAAGGTAAATACGACAGTAGAGAAAATAAACAAAACCAGAAATGGAGACTTGTTGATAACTATTTCTAAGAAAAGTGAGGACAAAGGCCAAGGACTGCAACAGATTATCGCAGGTGTGTTAAAGGATGAGGCCGAAGTTATTTATAAGGGGCACCAAGAAACTATAGAAATAAGGGATATTGATGATGAAACCTCAAAAATTGATATCCAGATAGCACTACAAAAAGCAACCGGGGGAGCCTGCAACACACCAGCAGAAGAAATTAGGCTTCGTAAGGCATATAGAGGTACCCAGATTGCTACTGTAGCTCTTCCAGCGGCAGTTGTACACGATCTGCTCAAAGCAAGTAGCAAAATACGAATTGGATGGGTCAACTGTCAAATTAAAATCATCAAGAAACCAATTCGATGTTTTAAATGCTGGCTATTCGGACATTATGGATCACAGTGCAAGAGCGAAGTGAATCGGACCAATCTATGCTTTAGATGTGGACAAGATGGTCACAAAATAGCCAACTGTATAAATGCAGCAAAATGTGCACTATGCGCTGAAAATGGAAACTCTGAAAATGTAGCACATCATGCCGGCACTCACAGATGTCCTCTATATAGGGAGGCCATAGAGAAAATAATGAACGCAAAAGCATGAAGATAATACAGCTAAACATGAATCATTGTGAGGCTGCACACGACTTGCTTATGCAGACGGTAAGAGATATAAAAATTGATGTTGCCCTCTTATCAGAACCTTACAAACATCTAACTGATTGGCCATGGGAAACGGACAGTACCACCAAAGCCGTTATTTGGTCCTGTGGCAAGTTTTGTTTCCAAAATGTTGTTAACAATAGCAACGCAGGATTTGTCGCAGCATCATTAGATGGCATACATTTATACAGCTGTTACGCTCCACCTAGTCTTTCTTTGCCAGATTTTGTCGATTTTTTAGATCGTCTTGTGGAGGATGCAAAACGACACCACCCCGTAGCGATAGCCGGTGACTTTAACGCATGGGCGGTAGACTGGGGAAGTAGGAAGACTAATGCAAGAGGTAAAGCACTTTTGGAGGCCTTCAATGCACTTGACGTGGTTTTACTTAATAGTGGTGATAAACCAACCTTTGAAAAGGGCAGTGCAAGCTCAATAATAGACCTTACTTTTGTTAGCAATAGCCTCGTCAGAGGAATTTGCAATTGGGAGGTATTAGATATCTACACTGCTAGTGACCACAATGCAATCATCTGGGAAATATCAACAGATAGAAACATTAGAAGACATGCGAAAATATCTAAAGCCATTGGGTGGAAAATAAAATCTTTTGATGAAAGCGCCATGAGAGTTGCCTTAAATTGCAAACCTATAATTTCAGAACACGCAGATGAGCATACTAGAGAGCTGATGGAGAGAATAACCGAAGCCTGTGATATCAGTATGACTCGTAAACATGGCATAAATCAAAGACAATCTGTGCACTGGTGGACTGAAGAAATCAGCTCTCTTCGTAAAGAGTGCCTAAAGAAAAGAAGGATCTCTCAGCGTGGATTTAGTCTCAGTAATTCTGCACAACTGGTAGTGGAATATAAACAAGCACGTAGACAACTAAATAAAGCTATCAAAGATAGTAAAGTTAGGTGCTGGAAAGAACTTTTGGATGAAGTCGAGGAAAATCCATGGGGAAGACCTTATAAGACTGTAATGTCTCGCCTCAAAAGCCAGCCAATACCTTCACCAACTTGCCCACGACTATTGAATAAAATAGTAACTACTTTGTTTCCACGACAACCTAATTTGAACTACCAGGTAACACATGTAGAACAGAATAATATTCCACTTATAACACTGCAAGAACTGATGGAAGCTTGTCATCGCGTTGGTATAGCAAGGCACCGGGATTAGATGGAATTCCTAATATTGCCTTGAAAACATCAATTATGACATCTCCGACAATGTTTCTTAATGCATATAATACATGCCTGAAAGAAGGGGTTTTTCCACGAAAATGGAAACAGCAAAGACTAGTGCTTATTCCCAAAGGAAAAAAACCACCAGATGAACCATCATCCTATCGTCCAATATGCATGCTGGATACAGCGGGTAAAATTTTTGAAAGAATAATTCACCAAAGAATAGATGCAGTAGTTGATCCAATCCTAGCAAACAATCAGTATGGTTTTCGCAAAGGGCGATCAACTATCGATGCTATAAACTTGGTAGTTAATACCGCCAAGGAGGCAATTGCTGGAACCAGATGGAAGGGGGGTTCCAAAAAGTACTGCCTTGTAGCTACATTGGATATAAAAAATGCTTTTAATTCTGCAAACTGGGATTGCATTATGAATGCACTCCGTGACAAGAACGTGCCAGCATACCTATGCAATATAGTCGCAAGCTACTTTACAGACAGAATTCTAATGTACCATTCACGCGATGGTACAGAAGAATATAATATAACAGGAGGTGTGCCGCAGGGCTCTGTTCTAGGCCCTTTGCTGTGGAATATTATGTATGATGGCCTTTTGAGACTAGAGTTTCCAGAATGTGTGAAACTAGTAGCATATGCAGACGATGTTGCCATAGTGGTTGTCTCCAAACAAATTGATGACATCGTAAGCCTATTCGATATTACATTCAGAAAAATTAATCGGTGGATGGGAACAATGAATCTCCAATTAGCACAACAAAAAAGTGAAGCTGTTCTTATCACTAGTAGGAAAAGAATTGAGACCATCAAGCTAAAGATAGGAAATCTTGAGATCACGTCAAAACCTCACATCTGTTACCTTGGCGTAATGCTTGATGCTCGTTTGAATTTCAATCAACAGGTGGAACACGTTAGTGCTAAGGCGTCAATAGTTAGGACGAAACTTGCTCGACTGATGCCTAATATTGGAGGTCCTAAACAAACCAGAAGGATATTACTATCGTCAGTTATTACTTCAGTGCTGACATATGGTATCTCCATATGGGGTGATGCTCTTAAATCTCAAAAATCGAGGAGAATGGCAGGGCCCTTATACCGTCTCAGTGCTATAAGAATTGCTTGCGCATTTCGCACAATATCGGCGGAAGCAGTGTGCGTCATTTCAGGAACTGTGCCTCTCTAGTCTTAGCAGAGGAAAGACGGACAATTTACCATAGAAGACATCAACAACTGTGTACTGAAAAGTTAAGATTAGAAGAACGGCAGAACAGCATTGACCGATGGCAGCGACTGTGGGATGTCGCTGTAAAGGGCAGATGGACGCATCGTCTCATTCCTAACATCAAAGTCTGGCTAAGTCGCAAGCACGGCGAAGTAAACTATTATACTACGCAAATGCTATCGGGGCATGGCTGTTTTCGAGCCTACCTACACCGATTCAAGCACGATAGCTCGCCGGATTGCCCATATTGTTTGGGCGAAATCGAAGATGCTGAGCACGTGTTCTTCGTGTGCCCGCGATTTGGTGCTCTACGGGATGATGTGGAGGAGACATTGAGACGCACAATTACCCCAGGTAATGTTGTTGAAGTGATGCTGACAAGTGAAGCTGCTTGGAACGCCATAGACAGATTTGCGAGAGACGTTTTAATGGACCTGCGTTCTATAGAGAGAGAAAGGGCGAATGGGACTTCGCCCATTTAAAAGATAAGTAAAATGTTTATGATTTATAACATTGTTTATAACAAGTTAAGAATTGTAACATTCTAGATCCTCCCCCCACGAAGTAATGCCTAGCGGCGGTTTCCGTGGGGACCAGAGGCAGGGGCAAAGCGGAGGTTTTAGTCGGTATTATACCAGGGCGGTATCGAGTCCGACATACCCAGACAGAAGACCGGTCTGGGATGCATAAAAGCATTTCCTTCGCTATACAAAAAAAAAAAAAAAAAAAAAAACACACACATACACACACACACACACCCACACACACATACATCCATTTTTTCTAAGGTATGCCAAAATGTTCAGAAACCTCTGAAACGTAAAGATATATAAAAATTTTCATTTTCGATTTTTTTGCGATTACTATAACTTACCCTACGGGAAGTTAAATACAGAGATAGGTGAGCAAAAAAATTGATTTTAATGAATAAAGGTGTACATAAAAGCGATGCCCATGATTGAGACAATTTTTATAACACCACTTTTTCTCAATATGTGACAAGCAACCATCGCAGGCAGTTTATTTCGCAGAAAAGTACACTAGATATGGTCGCAGTGCTTTTGGTCGCATAAATAAATGAAAATTTTGCTGTTTTTGCCTTTTGGTATATATTTATAAGTCCAAATGGAATATTTTTGCTGTATATACATAAGTCTAAAGTGGCAAGTAATCTTAAAAACTAATAGGTTTAACATTACAAAAAAAATATCAAATCGAATGCTTCATTTACTACACAAATCGACTTAGCCGTTTTTTGTGAAACGTGACAAAATATACATGCATACTTATATATACACATATTTATTTTCTAAAAAAAACTCTCAGAGATCAGAAGATGATATTTAAAACTGTTTTAGATTTGTCTGCAATACCAATGACTAGTTAATACATTAGTATGGATATTAGGTACTTGAAATTCTTGGAACCCAAACGTTATGCATTAGAAGCATGTAAATTATAAATGAATAAAATGTTTGTGCGTTGTATAAACGGATATTTTTTTTAATTTCGTCGTCTATTACAGTAACTACGCCGTAGACCCGCTGGGAAGAGCTACGATCGTAGCAGGCACTGCAGGGCAACAGTATGTGGATAACATCTTTTTCAACCCGGACAATGATTATGAAATGATTACCGTCAATAGATCTATGTGAGTATAAAATTATATTTAGTTTTATTGAATTCATTATAATCGACAAATTAGACATTCTATAATATAGTAACGATTAACAAAGATATCCAAATCTAACACTTGCACTAAGTAATTCGAAAGTAAATTGTAACATCTTTACAATTTATTATCAATATGATGTAGTTGATATATTAGGTTATATATTTTATTTAAATTTTTTTTTTCTTTTTCTTATAAACTTTCAATCTTTAGTCTTTTATGTAAATTGGTATTAGATTTTTTTTATCAATAGAGAAGAGAGTCAGTAATGATTATAATCGAGATAAGGAGGGCAAAAAGTTAAATACAAGTTCATATACATATATATGACTTTTAAAAATTTTGAGTATGATTTAGAAATTTTAGATCAAGAAAAATCAGCAAATCGCATTTTCTAGCAAAACTTTGAATTTTCATAGATTATAAATGCTTGTTAATTGTTCGTAGCAATTAAAATAGATTTTCATTAATCATATCAAGTTTCATGATACTATTCAATCGCTCTACTAAATATTTGACAATAATTTAACAATTTTCTTTCATTTATTTACTAGTAACGAATAGCACTTGATTTTATTTATGCATACTATTTATAAAGTAAGTTATGTATTTATTTATTCGTTTATTTATTTAAAGTTAATGCCAGTTGGTTTTATACAGTTAATTTTATACAGAAACTTAATATAAGTAAGTTATGTCTATTATAAACTGTACCTACTTTCTATTAGCAATTATCAACTTAAAGTATGTAAAGAATTCAAGTAGTCTACCGAATATTAAAAATTATATTTATTGTTAATTTTATATTCATGCATGTGGTATTACTTATTCATTTTTTGTTGCATGACTGCTTGTGCATTTTGCCTGCAGATTTGAGTTACAATTCAACAGGTGAGTTTAAAAAATATTTTTCAAAATTTTTTAGTTATTATATTTGAAGTTATGACTATTTTATTAAATGCTCGTAGGATGAATTTTTGAGTTGCAAATCATTTATGCTGCTAAAAGTCAGAATATATTATCATCATGATCTGTTATAATTTTCATTAATATTTTAAATTATTCTTTATGTTTATTAATTAGATACACATAGTTTTGAGTTAGTTTTTTTAATACTAAGTCGTTATAACTAACGATACTAAATGATTTAGAAATAATTTTAATGAATTATTTCAAACGTAATATGCGACAAATAATACAAATTTGCAAAAGATATTAAAAATAATTAAAAGCTGCTTAATTTAAAATTATACATACAAAAAAAATAATTTTGTGTTATCAGTTTGTATATAATAAACATTTGGTGTCAAGTTTCAAGATTTTTTTAAAATAATTTTCTCTCTTCTCAAAATTTTACATATTATGTGAATTAAACATGAATTAGTAAATATGTCATCCAGAAAAGCAGCTGTTTTGAGTAATATTTACAATATAGATTCAATCATTCAAATGAAGAAGAATTTTTCAAACATATTTTTGAATCAATATATAAACCTTTTAATTTCAGTTCTTGTGCCAATTCGTCTGATAATAATTGTTGGTTCAAATTTGAAAAATATTGTCTTATTTCAATCGATTTCTCAATAAATAAACTGGTTTGCAAAGTAAGATAAATATAATATATAATCTCTTAAGATGCAAATCGATCATCGGATGTAGCTTAAAATGTGTAAAAAAAATTACAAGGCATATGATGATGTATTTTTTAATCTTGTTAAAATATTAACATAAATATATAAACAATAAATCTTGCCAATTGCTACAATTTTGCCTACGAAAAATAAAACTTTTAAGAGTTTTAAAATATTTTGGAAACTTTGAAAATTTTTAAAAATATTGTTTTAAAAAAAATGTTTTTTTTATATTTAGATTTTTTTAAATTTTGAACTCTTTTCAAGTTTTGACAACAATCGTGAATGCGTAACTGTTCTAGAGACAAAATATCGAAGCGCGTAAGCGCCGCGTCGTACGATAGCAGATACAAATTAGTACAGAACCCACAGAAATGCAAACAAAATTTATACATGTTATTAAAATCTCTATAAAGTATCTGATAATTTGATGTGCATATATCTAGTGGAATTTTTTCCATTTTTCTCATTGTTTTTTTCAAAAACCGTAGACCTGCCTTTTCAAAAATTTTACCAGTTTGTCAATCCGTAAAATGTTTTCTGAATCATTCAAATCGGTTAATCCATGTTCCCAAAATCGTTGACGAAAATTTGTATCCGCACGCACACACATACAATTCTCTCTCACACACAAACACACATACACATACATCCATTTTTTCTAATGTATGCCAAAATGTTCAGATGCCTTTGAAACATGAAGATAATAAATAAAAAAATTTCATTTTCGATTTTTTTGTGATTACTATATCTTACCTTATTATGGGAAGTTAATTATGAAAATTTTGTTGGAAAATTCTCGTTAGTATATATTATATACCTACTTATATTAAAAAGGCCATAAAATATCGATATACTCTTGAAACTGGATTACTATTTTACAAAAAATTCTCACATCATTATCATACAATACTATACAATATTTGATAGGATTTTGAATAATGAATTGCCTATACAAATTTTTGTTCATCTGATTCGCATGTTAGTAAAAAATTTGTTCGTATTTGGATTATATGAAGGTAAGAATAACTGTAACAATTGCAAAACAATAAAGTCAATAACAATAATAATTAACGATACATGTTAGCCCAAAGTACATAATTTTTTTTAATTAAAAAATATTTTACTATTTCATATTTTTTTAATATAATTTGTCGTTATCCTTAGTACTCAAGAATTATGGAAAACCAAGATCGACGCCGCCCATAATTACTGGGGCTACAATATAACTCTAGCTGTTGGAGCCCGTATTCGGGACAGAGCTGATGATCCGGCACTGGTGGAAGTTCAGTACCTTCCTATGCACGATAATAATCAAACAGTTCTGGACGGAAAATGTGCACCAGGATGGGGAGCAGTACTGGATACTTGCTATTCGTATATTGGAGCTCCGATGGGCTTTAGGGAAGCCAAAGAGTTTTGTATGGTAAGCTGCCTTATTTTGATAATCTTTATTTTCAAGCAAGATCTCTGGGGTGAATTATATTGAAAAACGTGATGGCTTTACTGAAACATATATTTCTTCAAAAATGATTTATAACTATAACATTTACGTCAACCTAAACAATTATAAAAAATGACATTTTTTTAAGTACCATTAGAATCTAATGGTGGTTGAGGAAAACTACTGAAATATTGGTATATTGGAGTCTACATTTTATTAATAAGAATTATCATCACTGTCTTTAAAATTGCCTCATAATATGAATTTAGGAACCTTTCATCTAATGATTAGATGATTCAGTAGTTTTCCTCAAATTAAAGAAGGTGTAGGTAATATGTTTACATTATATATATATATATATATATATATATATATATATATATATATATATAATATAAAAGTTCTAAAATTATACTGTCAGAATTGAGTGCATTTTTTCTAAACGAGCATTGATTATTTTAAATTTAAATAATTTTGGGTTTATTATATAGGTATTTGGCAATTTGAAAACTATTATACAGCGGTACCTCGACTTACGAGCGACTCGACATTTTAAATGGTCTATTTCAAAATACAAAGAATTTGTTGCTTTGACATACGAGCAAAACATCGAAGCTTGGCTGACGATATTGCCAGTGCTCACGAACAAATAATAATTAAATTAATAATAGGCAAATTCATTTTATTACTTAACATTTCTGCAACGAATTAATGTTTTTTCATTGTATTTATATGGAAAAAATTGCCACAAGATACGAGTGAGCTTGATTAAAGAATTAAACTCGCACTTCGAGGTACTACTGTAATTATAATTTATTACATTTAGGGACCAATTCTCGGATAAAATAGCTATATTATGTTATGTGGAGTAATCGCACGAGTTAGTAGTTGCGAAACTATAAAAATGTTATATCTTTGCTATTCAACCTAAATTATAACCTCTAAATGACACAAATTCCAAAGAAAGATTAGACCCACGAAAGACTTCACCCATGTGTTATTTTCGACTTCACCCATGTTCCTATATTAACACATTTGTTCTAATTTAGAGATTAGTTTTTAGTAGTTGATTTTATAATAAATAAGCATTGTACAAAGCTATAATTTATGCTGTAATGTTGCTCACATCATATATGGTATATTTATACATTTTAACGACCTTTAGGTGTTTTAATTTAAAAATTATTTTTGCTATTATTTTTTAAATTGATTCAAATTTCAATTTAAATTATGGAAAAAACTCGTTAATTTACTTTCTATTATCATTTAGTATATTAATTTGGCTATAATCATCATGACTCGCATGAAACTCCGTATTATCTATACCTTTTTGTATTAATGCAATATTTAGAATTTATTGAATTTAATAATTATAATAAATAATAAAACATTTATTTAAAAATTTATAACAATGATACCCGATGCTTAAGAAACACTTTTTTTAAATTTTGAATGTAATAGTAACGTACCAAATGATCACGAAAATTTATAATATTAGGTAATGGTATTTATTGACGAATGAATTTTTCAAATTTATATGCAATTGCAAAAGTTGTAATTTTAATTATTTAACATCCAATGCCAGTTACACATTTTTTATTCATTAATTCTAGAATGACAATGCTTCCATGCCATACATGAGGTCTGATACTTCGCCTGTCCTCGCCTTTCTGGAACAGCAGAGAGGAGTGGCCAACGACTACTCCGTGTCGGCAGCGTACGACCAGCGCGTGTGGGTCCAGGACCTGGACCGAATCGATCAATGCACGGCCTTAGAGTACAGGGGCATTGTTTTAGATGACTGCCAGAGCAGACATGGATTTATATGTGAAATAGGTAAGACTTGGAATTTTATTGAATTGAATTATAAAGAGAGTTCTTAATTTTAAGTGGAATGTGAAATCTTTTTCCTTATCAAAAATGGAATGTGACATTGTTTTAGAGAAAATTGCCGAAACTAGTTTATATTAAAGGCTACCAGATAAATATTAGCATTTGAAATTATTGTTGAGATTTTTTTTATGGATGGTATATTGCGAACTTATATCAATGCTTGAAGAGATAAGAGTTAAAACAAAAGTTTTAGCTTAATATTGGTCATTTGATTCCAACCTCATGTGACATGAAAATTCATCACCGATTTCCACTTTATTAAACTAAAATTAAAAACTTTTACAATATAAGTGAATCTTATAAGAATTTTGAGAATTTTCATTTATTATCACTGAACTCCAAATTTAGTAAATAAATTATAACAGATAATACAATAATATTTTTTATATTAAATACAGAAATGTTTTTTTATATATTGAACAAAAAACTAATTCATTGCACACATTCCATTTTTGGTCAATGATTATTATATTTATTAAATAACCCTTTGTCCGCTTCATCGGTTCAGCAGTTTACCTAATGTAGATGAAATTTATGAATAGGGTCGTCTATTTAAGCAGTTTATCTAATGTACTAATTAATTGCCTATTCTAGTTGATATTTTTTATTGCATTTAATTTGTTTTATTTAATCACAAATAAACTTTGGAAGAACCACCACTGAGTTGCCTTCTAGAATACATCAAATAGATAGACCAAATATTAGGTTGAGATGAACCATCTCAGCAGGTTATAGAGCTCTTAGTTCTGGTTGCCGTTTAAAAACAATCTAAACAAATAATAACTATTAGGGTTGAAGTTTCCTTTATTTATAAGTACAGTTATGTATTTTAATTATAAAATATATATTTTTTACAGATCCAATTGTCAGCATAGATCCACTTTTATGGACAACGGACATTGTTGCCATCGGGGTGATTAGCTCAATGGCTATTGCTGTTTTAGTATTGGCTTTGGCTATTGGTAAGTTATTGCAATAAATTTTGCTATTAATTATTTAATGAAACTAGCTGTAAGTGGAATTCTGTCTTAAGGCAATTAAGGCATCGTGCCGTAAGGCAAATTGCTGGAACTTCCCGTACAAAAAATTATTAATTTTTTAAAAACTATTAACATTTTTGAAAAAAATGTACTTTGAAAAAATAAGATTTTTGAGAAACTATATATATGGACAAAAAATTATTTTTTTTGAAAAAAAAAATTTAAAAAAAAAAAATAATAATTTTTTTTTTTTGAAAAAAAAATTTTTTTCTTTATTTTGACATATTGTGGAAGATCTGAATTTTTTTTTTAAAGCAATCGTACTGATTTAACTGCATAGGGACAAAATATAAAGCGCGTAAGCGCCGCGTCGCTGTCTAACGCATAAGCATTGGTACGGAACTCATAGGAATGTTAACAAAATGTATGTGCATATGTCTAATGATCATTTTTGACCGCCAAATGGCTCATTTTTTTACTTTTTCCTCCATATCTCCGAAACCGCTAGACCTACCTTTATGAAAATTATCGATTCTTTATCTTGTCAATACAAGTGAAATGTTTTTTGCATTATTTAAATCGGACGCTCCGTTCTCTTAAAAACTGAGTTACCGTTTTCGGCACTTTTTGCCCCGTATCTTCGGAACGGCTAGACCTGCCTTCGCCAAAAACTAATCAGCACGTCTTCTTATCAATACAAATCGAATGTTTTTTGAATTATTCAAATCGGTTGATCCGTGTTCCCGAAATCGTCGACGAAAATTTGTATCCGCACATACATACACACACACATACACACACACATACACACACACATACACACACACACACACACACACACACACACATACATCCATTTTTTCTAAGGTATGCCAAAATGTTCAGAAACCTTTGAAACGTAAAGATATATAAAAATTTTCATTTTCGATTTTTTTGCGATTACTATAACTTGCCCTACGGGAAGTTAATAATATGTAGGTTTTATACATAATTTATTCCGTAAACTTAGTTCTTCAAAATAATTTTACAACTAAAACGATTTTTTCAAAAAAATTTCTCTAGATCTAGAAATCACAGCATTTCATCAAATACATTCTTATTGCTATGTAGTGTAGATCGGGGCTGAAAGGTCCACCAACATAATTCCAAAAACTATTGAAATTTTTAACGATACTATTTTGAAGTAATAAACAAAAGGTGTTAACAATACAAAATAGTAAAGAAAAAGTTTTACAGGACATAAATCAAATAGTTATTTTAACCCTGCTGATGAATATTCCTAACAAAAACCAGATCAAGGTTATGTAAAGTGGTTACCTCTGCAAAAAATGTAGCTATGTAATTAAGTTCCTGTAGAGTAAGTTATAGTAATCGCAAAAAAATCGAAAAAGAAATTTTTTATATATCTTTACGTTTCAAAGGTTTCTGAATATTTTGTCATACTTTAGAAAAAGTGGATGCATGTGTGTGTACGTGAATGTGTGTGTGTGTGTGCGGATAAAAATTTTCGTCGACGATTTCGGGAACACCGATCAACCGCTTTGAATAATTCAAAAATTTGTATCGATAAGGAAACGTGCTGATTAGTTTTTGGCAAAGGCAGGTCTAGCCGTTTCGAAGATACGAGGCAAAAAGTGCCAAAAACGCTAACTCAGTTTTTAAGAGAACGGAGCGTCCGATTTTAATAATTCAAAAAACATTTTACTTGTATTGACAAGATGAAGAATTGATTGAATTTTTGGCAAGGCAGGTCCAGCGGTTATGGACTCTCGATGAAAATAAGTGAAAAAAATGTCATTTGGCATTCAAAAATGTTTATTGGACATATGTACATCAAATTATCAGATATTTTATAGAGATTTTAATAATGTGTATACATTTTGTGTAATTTTTTTTGGGTTCCGTACTAAAATTTTTAATTGCGATACGGGAAGTACCAGCATTTTGCCTTAAGGCACCCCACTTAAACTAGTGGGTCAACCATTTTGCATTGGTCGAATAACGTAGCTAATATTTCATAAAAAATTTTATTACTTAAAAGAAAACATTCAATCCATTTGCACCCTGGATATCCCATTTTACACTGTTTGGGGGGTAGAAAGAACCAGTTGACAAATTTTAAAAAAACGGCAAGAAACACTTTTTTGCAATGTTGGGAATTAGCTAGGAGTTTTACTGAACATAGTCTGATAGTTTGATATGTGGTATATGTTCCGATACAATTGGTTTGGTTTTCACAATATAATTGCTCAAAGTCAAATTGGAGCCTTTTCCCCACTTTATCTTATATTAAAGCATCTTAAATTTATTGATCCGATTTTTCAACAATGTCAAACGCTTTTTAGTCAAATATTTTCGCTTTGTAATTCGTTTTTCTTTATCAATGTGTTTTAGCTTGCTGGTATCATAAATCAAGACATCGTCATGCACAACGTTTGCAGAGAAGAAACAGTATCAGACAATCCTTGAGGTCTCTGAATAGCCTGGATCCCGGTTCTATGAGGAGAAAAAACTTGGTAAGAATATATGTCAGATATGACTAATGGTTGTCAATGACAATATTTCAAACATCATAAAATGAGATATAAATTCAATCGATTCGCAGACATTGTGATAAGCAACCAAAAATAGTAAGCATGATACAGATATATAATTATAATTAAAAATAACATAAAAGGTATCTGATTTTTTTTAAATACATTAAATTGTGTTGATTTGATATTATGATAGCTGGCCAGTTGTATCAAGTCTGCGATAAATTTTATCTATCAATGATTATAGAAATGTTGGTGATTTTATTATTTATTATATGGTAATATACATTGCACTGAAAAATTATTTAATTTTATGTTTTGTTTATTTTAAATATTTTTTTCAAATTAACATAGCACATAGAATAAACTGATAATTACGTTAGCACACAGAAATTATACTTAATACTAACCATACTAACTACCTAAGTCTTCACCCTCTTTCCACACAAGCCCCTTATTTGTCATTTTAGTAATCGAATAATTTTTCATCTTGCATGCAATCATCGATTGATTGTTTTTGACTTAATTTTAATTCTGATTTTTCTGAAGTTTATGGAGAAAAATTATATCATAGTTTGTCCAACCCTAACATTTTTTATTTAGGGGTTAATTTTCTTCATTTTAGTTTTGTGAATTTGGGATTGAGAAATATATTCAACATTATATTTTTACTGTCCTATCAGATATCCGTATTTCATAATAGTCATTTTAGTAGTCCAATCATTTTTCATAAAGCTCGATAACTGATCAATCATCATCCTTTTTGTGAACAAAGTTTGTTGAATTTTGATCCATATTTTTCTGAGCTTAAAGAAAAGCTTAAATATATGAGCTCTGTCCGCTGAAATATTTTCAAAACAATTCTTAGATATAATCTAAGAATTGTTACCATCGATAAAACCTTTACCATTAGTAAAGGTTATCATCAATAAAACTACATGCGTCAAATTATCAACTTTCTTTCTTGCTTGATCTGATTCGCAGGATTATCCCATTGTACAAATATTTGCCTATATGCACACCCAGTACATGGTTCATGAATGGCTTGCAGAAAGAGCAATAATATTATAATCTGAATATACAACAGTCTTTGAGAGGGAACTAGATACCATCCAAATCCTTGTCAAAGCTGTAATTTTTTCAACGGAGTTTTTGAAATGTTACTCGATTGACATGTTTCTTAATAAATAGCAGAAAAGTGAAAAATTTTAAGTCCACGTTTTAGCCCGCAATTCTGAATCGATTATGAAAATTCAAATACCGTTCGAAAAATATTGGTTGGAAATCGTGCTGATTAGTTTTTGGTAAAGATCGGCTGGGCCGTTTTCTTGTAATAAAGTGTTATAAAATTTTTCTTCGATGATTTTTTTTTTGACGGTAGATACCATAGTCTTCTAGATCATACTCAAATATTACGGCCCTACGACAATTGGTTTAACTTTAAAAATTCGTCAAAGTTTGCAAAAATTGGTATCGTTTTTTTGGCATTTGTCAAAATTAGACCTTTCTTCGACATTTTTTCAAAATTAGACCTTTCATCGACATTATTTCAAAAACGCCTGAACCGATTTCAGAAATTTAAAAGCCATTTGATGCATCTCGATGAGGACTATCGTTTGCCAGTTTTGTGCGACGATCTGCCAAACCGTTTCTTTATAATTTAAAAAAAGTGTTGAACTTTTTGTTCACTTTTAAGCTCATACTATTGAATCAATTTTAAAAAATCAAAAATTATTCGAAAGATATAGTTGGGAATGATACTGATTAGTTTTAGATGAAAATCTACCGAGCCGTTTTCTTCTAATTAACTGTTGAAAAAAAATTAAGCCGATTTTTATGGAACTTTTAGTTTAATTTTAAAAATTCATCAAAGTTTTAAAAAATGAGTAGTTTTTCTGATGTTAGCTAAAATTAAAATTAAATTTACTTGGTATAGCGATAGAGTACCAGGTCTTAATGAACGTACTAAACTATTAAAGTCCTATGAAAACTGGTTCAATTATAAAAATTGTTCATTTTTGAAAATTTGCTTTTAAAAAATACTACGTGTTAACGTGTTCGTTCGTGTTCAATTATGTATAATAAATCCACTCAAAATACTTTTAATCACTCATAAATTAAATTATTTTTTATTGATTAAGTTGATTAATTACACATATCGGGAAGTTCATGTAACTTGCCTCAAGGCGAAATATCAATACCAACTAGTTTAATAATAAAAACAAACTGTATTTTCATATGATAATCGTCGTGAAGACAGGTATTTTCTGATAGAACACATTTGTGAGCATTCTATCCAAATATTAATTTTATATCAAATACAGTTTATAAATATGAAGTATGAATGGTTTATCTATATATTAAACAAAAAAATGTATTCTGGCATTTTGTATAATGAATTAATTAAATTCAATAATAAAATACAGTTTTAACACTGAAATTTTGAATAAAAAGTCAAAGCGAGAGTACAATGATTAAAGTTCTATGTTAGAAGTTATTAGAAAATATTTTTGAAAAAAAAAATGCAAAGTGTATAAAGAATATTTAATATTATAATAATTCTCTATTTTTCATTTAGTCTGGATCTCGGTCCACTGACACGTTAACAGTGAAATCAGCATCGGATTGTAAAAGAATGTTGTCCTCCGGATCTATAGATTCCATAGAAAAAAGCGTATTCACAGGATCCAGCTTAGACGACGATAGGAGCTTTGATGTTTATGAATCGCACAATCCTAGGACTGGCTACAATGGGTAAGTGGAAATATTTCGAAAAAAACTTTGAAGATTATATTGAGAATTTTATTTTCTATTGCGCAATAAATCATACCTTTTTTTTACCTATATACGCTTGCGGGCTTAAACAAAATGATTTTACTACAAGTGAAGAAAATATTTGGTAAAAAATATATAGAATAAATGGATTGATCATTAATTGATAAATGTGGTGCAATTTGAATGAGGTATAGATATCTTTCAATGAATAATCAGTGATTTCGATTATTTCCGTGAAGCAGATATATTAGTTATTTAGTTACTAGCCATAATAGTCCATTAATCACGTAAGGCTTTTAAGGTGATGGGGGGTTGATAAAAGAATCACAAAAAAAATCGTGGGGAAGACAGGGGTCTGGAAGATATCATCACGTGTATATATTTTTTACGTAAATTTAAAAAAATATATACTGTTTTTTCGTAAATTCGAAAAAATTGTTCAAAAAATTATAGGTTAATAAAAATAAACGTTATGTGGGGAAAGTGTTATGTGGGGGAATACCACGGGGAAAGGGCTTCCAAAAATCTCTGAAAAATCGATCACGTGATTAATGAACGCACCTTAAGATATTTATAATATTTACCAACAAATCAATAGTTACGTCAAGCAATATAGAGATTATCGTTATTTTGAGATTCGATCAATGAAGGAGAGAATTATTTCTAAAATTTAATTTGCGATAGATAGAAATTCATTTTAATTACTTTTTGTACGGTAAGTTATTGAAAACAAAAACTATCAAAAATGTTTTTTTTTATATAATTAACATTTAAGAATTTTATCATCATTTTGCATACCTTAGGAAAAGTTGATGTTTGATGTTAAAACACTACTATAAATCCTTTCATATAATAATTTCAACAATTTTAGTAAAACTTTCGAAGCTCGAAGGTTTGGTTTAATTTAAAGAGCCAATCTTGGTATGAAATTTTGCTCACGTATAAAATTAAAAATTACAGCAAACTATTTTAAATGTGAAGCTGGTACTTGATCTTTTATGCAGTGATATTAAAATTCTGTATTACTGTGCAATCAAGGTCAACTTACTACTATTAGTAAATCTTTATTGAAAAGTAATAATAAAAAAAAATAAGATTTTCAAAATGAAATAAAATATTCAAACAAATACAAATTTAATAAAAATTATAATTTTCAAAAAATTTGAATCTTTTTTTATTTCACAGAAAAATTTATTTTTCTAGAATTTTTCTATAAAACGACAGTATCGCAATTTGCCTTAAATGCCATATTGCGCTGGTTAAAAGTAAATTGACCTAATTTGAAAAGATTAGAGCGAGGTGAATCTGTTCAACGAGTTGCAGTTGCAATGCGCATATGGTTTGCATCATAATTTTGCAGTCAGATTATGTATCTTCTCTTTATGCAATTAAAATAATTAACATTAATATTCAACTCAAAAAGTACTATTTATAAGTCGTTTTAACAAACTTATCTAAATTTCATTTTCAATATAGGGTAACATTTGAAACATTTTTAATATAGGGTAAAGCGGTTAAAAAGATACCGATATCTCAAGAATTTTTTAACAACAATATTTCAAAGTAGAGTAAAAAAGGTGTATAACCTGCCATCATTTTTACAATTATGCTGTCGGGAGATAAACGTTAATGTTTGAAACTCAATAATAAAAGTGTTTACCTTCGTTGTTAGTTTTTTGGTTTGGTTTTCACAATGTAATTGCTCAAAGTCAAATTGGACCCTAGTATACAATACATATACTCGTATTATATGATGATTTTATATATCACTATTATATAAATAACTAGCGGGGTGTATGGCACGTACCTTAAGGCAAAATGCTCGAACTTCCCGTACCGTAACGAAATGTACAAGGAATATTAAATGTTTTCAGATAGATTATTATAAATATTGTAACATTGTCTAATATTTATGAGAATTATATAAACTGAATTGCAAAGTTGATATTATTTGTTTAAAGTATATTAGAACTTTAGTCAGAATTAAAAATAAAATCTGAATTATTTTCGTCAAAAAAAAAAATCTGAAAAAAAATTTGAAAAAAGAAATTTGAAACAAAATTTTTTTTTCCAAAATCAATTATTTTGTTAAAACAAGCAGAAAGTTCTTTAAATCATTTAAATCGGATGCTTAGTTCCATTTTTTGCACATTTAGCTCTGTATCTTCGAAATGGCTGAGTCTGCCTTTGCCAAAAACTAATAACCACTTCTCCCAATCATTACTAATTGAATGTATTTTAGATCATTCAAATCGGATGCTCCGTTCTCTCAAAAACTCGATTTGTATTTTCTGCACTCTTTGCTCTTTAGCTCCGTAACTGCTGGACCTGCCTTTGCCAAAAACTAAGTAGCACATCTCCCTATTAATAGGAATCGAATTTTGTTTGAACCATTCAAATCGGTTAATCCGTGCGCCCGAAAACGTGACCGAAAAAATTGTATCCATACATACATACACAAACACACATCCACTTTTTCTGAGGTATGCCAAAATGTTCAGAAACCTTCCAAACGTCGAGAAACGCAAAAATTTTCAATTTAGATTTTTGGACGATTACAATAACTTACCCTATGGGAAGTTAATAATGAAGGATAAAATGTTGGCATAATTAAGTTTTACTTAATAAAAAAGAATAGCAGATTATTAACAATTACAAATATGCAGTAAAAAGAAACATAAAAAAGTAGCAGGTTATTTTCAATTTCATAACATTTTTTAAGCTGGCGCATAGGGGCAATAAATACGTATAAATCAATATCTACACACTGATATAAAAACTACAATTGATTTTTTTCGGCAAAGGTATACTTTCTGAATAACCGAATATATTTGACGCACATAGTTATGATCTCAATAAACATTAACTTATAATAAATCTATATTTCTTCTTCATTAGCTTACACTCGCAGACCGTGAACCCGTTCGTAGATTCAAAGCCACGTTTCTACGGGGCGAACGAGTTCCGAGAGGGCGGTAAGGATTACGAGAAGCCGCGACTGGGCAATCATTATGCCAACGGCGGCAGCTCCTTGCCTAACGCCAACAACGCGCCTGGATACGAACTGGCTTACCGCAACGAAGGATTCCGGGATCCTGCCGCGGCCGGCTCGACTTTCGGGGCTGGCAAGGGACTCAAGCAGAGACCCTTCGCCGCTAACTTGGGAATACCGGAGGTCGACGACAGTATGGAGCATCATGCAGGTACGATTGTGATTGATATTGCGATTCATTTCTAATGTGTAAAATTAGTACTACTTCGTGCAGATTTTTAACCCTTTCGCTATGAGCGTCGTCTATAGACGACATTCGCTGTGACATTTTTTTTCATAGATTTATTGCCGATCAAAATAATACAATTTTATAAGACAATATGCTGGATGTAAATGCATTTAAAGAGTTTATCTCCTGTGAGATATATTTTATTTTTTTATTTTTTGACCTTTAAGATCGTATGGTCATTTTTGTTTCAATCTTCGAGTATGAGATTTCCCACTTAATTCTTTTAAATATTTGTGTTGTTGGTCTGGTAATTTTTCGTGGTATTTTTTGCTTCTTTCTTTTATTACTTCATCAATAGTTGTGATGATTTTTTTTTCAATTTTTATCACTCTGAGTTAAGGTATTGATAATTCTAATTTGTTATTGTGAAGTTCAGAAAATTTGTTAATTGTTATTGAAAACTCTAATTAGTTTTTGTAGAGGTGTAATTTTTAATTACCTTCCTGAAGAAAAGTTTGTTTCCGCGATAATATGATACGCTAATTTTATGTTTTCTCGACGTTTCAAGTAATTTTGGATGGAATGAGTACGATTTTAAAAAAAATGTGTGTGCATGTAGGTATGTGTTCTTCACTAAGTGAGAAAAGTGCAAAAATTTTTTGTACGTGTTTTAGCTAAAAACTATAAACCAATTTTAAAAATTTTAAAAATTATTCGAAAGATATTATTTGCGTATCGTGCTGATTAGTTTTGCACAAAGATCGAACAGGCCGTTTCTTTGTAATTGATCGTTAAAAAATATTCTCGACGATTTTAATGAAACTTTGTATGACGACAAAATATCTGGTTTTAGAAAATATACTAAAATATTTTCTTTATTATTTATATAAAAAAGCGGCAGCGCTTTTAGAAAATACTTACAATTAATTAGACACGTATTTGTTTTTCAATAACGCATAATAAAAAATTGAAATAATTTGAATAATCTGCAATAACTTTTCACTCATGGTAATTCTTATTCAATAAGTCGATTATTTACATAGGTCGGGAATTATTGCCTTCAAGCTACATGATACTTACAACTATTTTTTAAATACATTTGTATATATAATAATTCAAAAATCTGGAGATATTTTATATGACAATTATTTTGGCCGTTTACTGCCTCGTAGCAGAGTCACTCCTGCGGAAAACACATTTATTTAAAAAGTTTTAAAATCTAATAGATTATATGTATATGAATATTTTTATTAACTCTAATATTATTCCAAGAAATTCCATGTATATGTGTGTCTTTTAGTAAAAGATACTACGAAAATTATAATATAAACCATCTCAACTCTTTTTTTTTATTTAAAATGATTGTAAACCTTAATACAATTTTTGAGATAAATCCAATTGTATTTCAATTTTTAAACTACAATAACTGATTTTGGATCATTTTGTATTTCAAATTTCACAGATGATTTAAATCGTAATTATTTTATAATAATTATTTGTAGAATATAAACTTATAAGCTCTTAATTTTTAGATCCTACCATAAAATTTTGAAGAGATTTTAATATATTGTAAATATTATCGCCGAAAAACTTACAAAATCACGTGAATTAAACATACTTTTTTGGACAATGAGTATTCTTGTGTTTGGTTTTTATCTATTGATTCGATTTCGGATAATAAATTGAAGTGCCTATTATTTTGATGTGAACTTGTGAACCATGTGAATCACTTATTGATTACGAAGCATGTTTAATATAAATTACAATCCAGCGGTTCAACTATAATCTCCAGACAAATCTTATCTGAAAAATGGAATTTGGAACTATATTAGGGATGTTGAGTATTAGTAACTAAATTTTATTTTTACATATATTAATAGAAATAAATATAGTTATGTACATACCTGCACACATACTTACAACGATTAGGAAATTCCTTTGTCTTTTATGTCAAACTATGATTTATATGAATAATATCAATTACAATAGAGAATATACTGAATATAGCATAGCATATTTGCTATCTTGTAAAATATCTATTTATTAGTAAATAAACTATCCATTTCAGGTCACTCAGACTACTATAACAACGCTTCAACGTTGCCTTTGAATAGTACACTTGACAAATCGATTACTGAATCCGAGTCGTTAAATCTAAGCCAGTACAGCGACCGAGGACTAATGTTTTTCAAGGATGCTTCTCCCGAGGATAACAACAAATATCCGCCGACTGCAGAATATGCATCAGCCCACAGCACTTTCCGTGCTCCTGCTAAAGTAGAAAGAGATCTGAGGCTAGAAAATGGTTTGCCGCCTGCTCCTCATTATGATAAAACTATACCAAAACAGGATAATGTTCCTCAGTACTCAAGAGCAGCTCCGACTATTCCTCCAAGTCCACTGAACTATCAGAGGGCTGCATCAAATGTACTACAGAACAATCCTAATGTAAGTAAATAATTTTTAATTAAGTGATTTATTAAAACTCAGTTTTTTGATCATGCATTTCTACTTAGTCGAGGTTACGATACTAGATTGTAGATTTTGTTTTATAATATTTTTTTTATAAACGCACGCAATATTACTTCTACTCTGATACTACTTAATTTAATTTTATCATAATTCTCTTAATAATATATGAACAATTTTTCAATAAAATACAGATGTTTCAATAAAATGAAATTATTATGATTCTGCGATATAGTACTTGTGCCAGATCTGTTTCCTGTGTATTTTGAACTCTGCATTTATAAATAAATCTTTGCATCATTTCCTATTAGACACACATGTAATAATATTTTGGACCTACGTTCCAAGTTAACAGATTTCAGTTTTAACTCCGACTTTTCTTTTTTCCGTTGTTACGTATTTATTTTTTATTAACCCATTGAAAATAATTATATTTAGTCTTATGATATTTTTCATTCAATTTAATTTTGTATTATAAATGAGGATATTACATTAATTCCAATCACTCTAGCTTCAACTTAAAAGAAATTATTTTTGAAGATATATTAACTCGAGAAATATTAAATGTTTTCGAATAGATTATTATAAACACTGTAACATTGTCTAATTTTTATAAGAATTATATAAACTGAATTACAAAGTCAAAATTATTCATTTAAAGTATATAAGTGAGCTTTGGAACTTAAGCCAGAATTAAAATTAAAATCTTAATTATTTATTCGATACATAAAAAATTTTTTTTGAAAAGCAATTATTTTGTCACCGCAAGCCGAATCATTCAATTCGAATGCTCAGTTCTCTCAAAAACTGCAATTTTTTTGCACACTTAGCTTTGTATCTTCGAAATGGCTGAATCTGCCTTTGCCAAAAACTAATCACCACTCCTCCCCATCATTATGAATTGAATGTTCTTTGGATCATTCGAATCGAATTCTTCGTTTTCTCAAAAACTCGAGTTCTATTTTCTGCACTCTTTGCTCCGTATCTCCGTAATGGCTGGACTTGCCTTTGCGTAAAACTAATTAGCACATCCTCCTACCGATAGGAATCGATTTTTTTTAATCATTTCAATCGGTGGGAATCACCACACATCCATTTTTTCTGAGGTATGTCAAAATGTTCAGAAACCTCTGAAACGTGAAGATATGCAAAAATTTTCATTTTTCATTTTTGGCCTATTACTAAAACTTACCCTACGGGAAGTTAAAAATATTCTTTTCTTTGGCTAAGTGATTCATGAGAAAAGAAAATTCACTTCACGGATTCTATAATTGATTAAAGAATAGCTAACTTTAACCAAATTTTTTTTATTATTCGAGCACAAAAGAGCCTTGTAATAACAAATTAAATATAAATGTTCGGCTTTCAATATTTTTAAATATCTTAATACTTTTTATTAACCTCAGGGAGTTATAGTAATCGCAAAAAATCTAAAATGAAAATTTTTGCATATATTCGAATTTTGTCTTTAAATTAGCTAAATTTTCAAAAAATTCAAAATTGTTAAATATCTATTCTTTTTCAATGTTTACAACAAATTTTAAAGATTTTGAAAATTTTGAAAAACGGTACGGGAAGTATCTGTCCACCAATTTGCCTCAAGGAACGATGCCATGTCCCCCTAGTCATTGTTAAACAGGTTTTTTTGTATATCGCACTGTAAATGCATTTACGTATTCCTGACTTACTATTATTCATTATTATTATTATAATAAAAGTTAAAGTATTTATAATAATATATTTGAAAGCATTTGATATTCTTCGAATATTTCATTATTGAACGAGAAGAACTAGCAATATGTTTCAAGGCACAATGCCATACAACATACACCACCAGTTTTAATTTATCGATTTATTCATCTAAAAATTGGTTATATCAAATACCCACACCACATTCATCTTTCTCTAAAATTTTAAGTCAATAGGTAATTTTGCAGAAAGTCCTTAAATCGAGTCAATTATTTTGTTATATAAGTAAATAATATAATATGATTTTTTCTAGGAAAAGTGTTTACAATATTTCTTTTGATGCTTTTTTATTTGCTGTTATAAATAACAATCTATTATTATAAACAGAAAACAACATTCGGTAATTTTGATGGGTAATTATATTGGAAAAAAAGGTCGAAAGGTCACCCAGTGGTTAACCGTTTTGATTTTTATTATATATAGCTTATAGAAGTAATAGTGGTACTGATGCAAAAAATCTTTTAATCCTAATCGATTATTATTTATCTCTACCTAGGTGCCCGAGAACTTGCCCATCGTCTACCACCAGAACCTGCCACCGCCGCCGTCGAACGCGCAGCAGAGCGGCGTACCGCCCGCCGTTCCGCCTCCAACTTATGTGCAGATAAATCTAACATACAAGAATCCCACGACGCTCAGCGACGGCTCACCCCTGGAGAGGAAAGTGCAAAACTTCGAAAACGCCCCATTGATGAGCGATGCGGAATCCACCACCAGCAGCGTTCCATCGGAAAGGAGAAATGTTCAGAAGCCGGCAGTGCCTCAGAGGTAAGCTGATACATAATTTATAATACGAGCCAAGTCTATTCAAGTATTGGGGTTATACTAATATAACCGTTAAAACTAATTAAGAGTTTTGTTATAAAATTTAATCCTTTTGGCTACAAGTGTGTTTTCCGCTCGGCTCGTATATGTAACTAAACTATTGGCAAATGGCGATGTTCCTCCAGGAAAATTACTGATAATTTTGTAAATGAATATCACACTAGTGGTGCTTGGCATTGTATCTTAAGGCAAATTGCTGAACTTTTCGGACCAGAATTTAAAATTTCTATAAGGTTTTATAAGCAGATTTTTGAGAGTTTTTGAAATTTCTTGAAAATTTTGAATTACTTTTAAAGCAATTGGGCTGCGTAGCTGTTTAAGACACAAAATAGCGAAGCACATAATCGCCACGTCAAAATCTAATGGTTAAAGATTATAAATCTTGGTACGGACTCAACACATTTTGGTACATATTTACCAACAAAACTAAATGATATTTTCATTTAATATTATTTCATATGCCTGTTGATTGTTTTTGAACTCAAAATGACATTTTTCTTAACTTTTTTTATTAGATCCCTGAAACCACTGGTATTGCCTTTACAAAATTTTAATCAACTTTTCATTTTGTTAATACAAGTGATATTTTTTTTAATCAATTATTGAATCATTCAAATCGGACGCTTCGATCTCAAAAAATGATTGCTATGTTTTGCACTTTTTGACCCGTATCTTTGAAACACATGCATACATTCATTTTTTCTAATTATAAGGTATGCCAAAATGTTGTAATGAAATGTAAAGATTTTAATTTTCGATCGAAAAGTTTTAATTCGACTCATCGGGAAGTTAATTAATAAATAGGTTCTCAAAAACTTAAAACTTAAACTTAAGACTTTTAAAAGGAAATCTTATATTTATAATTCAAACTGCGAGTGGATCAAACATGCAGATAGATTCCAATGCTTTATCTGAAATTGTTATGTTTTTAACTTTCTATTATCCCTTTCGCTACTAGTGTCGTCTATAGACGACATTCAGGGTGTCAACCCTTTCTTTGGCGACGATAGTGTTTTTCGCATGAGTGTCCTTGCTGTACGGACAGCGTGTCTCTTATTGTTAGTAGTGTTACTGAACAAACTAGGCATAACGATATATTCTAATTATAAGATATTTCTATCATTTTAAATAAAAAGTTTCGAAAATTTGAAACTAACTGAAAATGTCGTCCATGGACAACACCTGTACACACAGCACGTTATACGGATGTCGTCTATAGCCGACACTCGTGCGCACTGATAGTCAAGTGGATGTCGTCCATGGACGACACTTGTAGCGAAAGGGTTAATACTAGTTACTCATAGTTACATTATTAAGAATTATAATTTGTTATCAAAATGTTTAGTTCTTTGAAAGTTGTTTTTTATATTTTTTAAATATAATTTTATTGTTATTGATTGAAAAATGTAGAAACATGCTGTTGTGTCTGGTCTATTAAGTAGCGCTACTGGTCTGCTTGTTGTTCAGTACAGCAGTGAACTCTTGCGGAAATCACACTTGTATCCAAAAGGATTAATTTTGTAATATTTTTTAACAAAACTCTTAATTAGTTTTAACGGTTATATTAAAATGAACCATCAAATACTTGAGTAAAGTTGACTTGTTATTTTTGAGTGTGCTTATTGATATGGAACCAATATTGTAGTCAATAAATTTAAGTGGCAATTTGTCGTAAGGCAAGTTGAAAAACCGTTCCGATATGTGTAGATAATCGACTTGAAATTTATTAACCTTTAGTTAATAAGTTACTGTAGTAAACTTAATTAATTTTTTTATTGTTGATTATGTATTGATACGAGCCAACTCAAATTTTTTTAATCACTTCTCAATTCATCGAACAATAAATATTGGAATATATTAGATATCAATTTTGTTCACCCGGCATGGAACTAATGTGTATGAAGTTATATTAATAAATAAATTTGAAATTTAAATTGTAACACTAAACAAAAGCATTCTTCGTAAAGTGTAAATGCGTTACTTATATCACATTATTTAACACTAAATTTTTAACCATTTTTTAAAATCATAGTTAATTCGACGAGTCAAAATATCAATGAAAAAGCAAAAATATATGCAGTTTTTATGCAATGCAATGAACTCCATTAAGTTTAATCGAAAACGCTTGAATTGAACTAAATTTACTACTTTGATCTCGGAAAATAGCACAGTCCATAAAATTTTATTGGACGGGAAATTCTGAAAAATATGTATCTGAAATCTAACGACGCAAAATAAAGGCGTTACTTTTGAAGAAATAGCGTTTCTTATTATATCGCTTCCAAAATGTGCTTGGTATTATGGTTTTTCGTTATTGATGAATACTTTCATATTATACAATCGTAATTGTCAGGAAATAGAATGAAGGCAACGTGAATTATAAAGCTCATATAACATCCGAAATAAACTTTAGTATTCTTTACAAATGGTATAATAGTAGAAAGTTGCTATACATTTATCTATAGCAAAATGATTTTTTTAGAGAGAAGGAACTCTCAAAAAAAAAGTAAATGAAAATCAAAATAGTTTTTTATGAATTCTTTATGTAACAAAATATAGTCAGAAAGAGCGGCTGTGGTACTGCCACTTTTATCAGTAATAATTTTGTTAATTAGCCAGTTAGCTGGGAGAAAAGCAAATTAAATGCTAATTTTGATATTTGTCTTTTGGAAATACCGAAGTACGATGGGTTAATCATAAATTTAAATCATTCAAGAAAAGAGCGAGTGGTACAACCGTCCTTAGCCTAAGCACAACAAAATGGTTTATAACGACTTATTCTCAAAATATGTAACACAAGATAACATAATAATTCAAATAAAGCTCATGAATATAATATAACAATATATAAAAAAAACATATTTTTTCAATTAAGAAATTTTTATGAAACCTTTTGTTTTCTTATATTGAATTTTTCTTTTCCTTTCTCTTTCGCGTTTTGTCGTAGTTAGATCTATATTCATACAAAAGACACTTTTCATTAAAAAAAAATCTTAAAAAAAATGCGGTCTATAGATCGTGTTAATGTAGGGCGCTGATTCAATACAATGGTAAAAACTTGTTCGAATAAACATACTTTATATTTTCCCTTTGGACCCTATCTCAAAATCAGTATAGTTTAGCTGTTATGACGACTGTCACTACTGTATCCTGGCACAACCGTACCTAGCCTCTTCTGTAACATCTTGTATCTTTAAAAAATTATAACATTGTAATACCAATAATTAAAATATTATACTTTAAATTCATCTTTTATATCTTTAAAAAATTATAACATTGTAATACCAATGATTAAAATATTATACTTTAAATTCATCTTTTATATCAAAATAGCCGAATCAAAAGTTTGCAAACCATTGTCAGTGCAACTTCACTACTCACATCGGTTAATTTCTTTGTGGCCTGAACAGTGTTATTATTATTTCTATAGTATAAACATAAAATTTAAATAAAAATTCTGTTCATTATTGTAGCTGAAAGCAAACCAAACATAAACCCGAGCGTAGAATTAATTCGTTTATTTCATACAAATGTCTACGTGTAGGTACGAATATAAATATAGTTCTTCTCGCTCGCGAAAACAGATTTTTTTCATTATTTATTCACTTCTACATATATTCATATAAAATACTACTTATGACAATGGTTGTTTATTCTCGTTGTAATGAAATTATTAATTAAAGACATTTCAAAAAGTGATACATATATATCTTATATATAAAATTCTCGTGTCACAAAGTTCGTTCCCGTACACCATCCAAACGGATTCACCATTTTTTATCAAATTTTATGTGTGTTCAGTGGGTCTGAGAATCGGTAACTATTTATTTTTCATACCCCTAAGTGATAAGAGTTATTCATCCTTAATGTTTTTTTTTTGTAATTTTTTGTCGAAATTTTTATAAATAATGTGGCATTACAAAATACATACAATGTAAAATTAGATAAAATTAACACTTTATCACCAACCCCGATTTTTCATAGCCATTTTAGCAATTTAATCATTTTTTATCCCGCTTTCAGTCATTGAATATTTTTGACATGATTTTAGTTCCGATTTTTATGCTTGAAGAAAAGGCTTGAATCTTACTTTAAAAAATAATACTAATAATTTTTATTAGAGTTTCTCCAACCTTAATACTTCTGTAATTTTGGGATCAAATTTGGAGGAAATGCATAAAAATCTAGAGAATAATAAATGTAGGCATAGACTGGTAGTCTGATAAATAGATACACAGATAAGCTGGTAAACAGGTAAACAGGTAGGCTGGTAGACAGGTAGGCAGGTAAACAAGTGGATACGTAAACATGCAAACAGATGAACATGAAGACAGACAAATAGGGCAGGTGTACAGGTAAACAGGTGGAAAAGCAGATAGATAAACATGTAGGCAGGTAAACAGGTAAAGAGGTAAATAACTAGACAGTAATAAATGAAGAGAGTTGGACAGGTGGACAGACAGATAGATCTAAAAAAATGGTCAAATGCATTCATTATTCACATATATTATTCTCAGGGAGTTTATGCAACTTGCCACAAAACAAAATGCCACTCACAATCAGTTTTTTTGTATTCATCATAGCAAATATAAAATATAATAATAAGCTTGCATTTTCATATATAATGGCGCGAGAATGATACATGACCATTGCCTATAGTATATTATTTAGCCTATCATACCAAGTTCGCCATTTCAGACGCTTGGGCGAGTGATGTTTAATCAAATCATTTGCGAGTTGATTGCGATGTTCGTTTAACCGTTTTTAAATAAAATTTTGAAACAAATTACAAGCGCACCTAAATATGTACCGAATTGGCTGTTACAACAAAATTTGCAAGTCCCCACAATTGAACAAGAGATCAGTCTATTCTGTACCAGATAAGAGAAACAGTTAAACTATATTAAATTATCAATGGGGTTCAACTACCTCAGGTTGAACTTGTAAAATACTGGATTTTCACTTGGACGGAAGACTCACGTGGAGGAATCATATCATGAAAAAACGTTTCCAGGTTGAAGAGAATTTCAAAAAACTTTATTGGCTGTTTGGTTCCAAGTCCGAACTATCCACCTACAACAAACTTCTTGTATACAAAGTCATCTTAAAACCAATCTGGACTTACGGCCTTTCTCTCTGGGGCAGTGCAAATCGATCCAATTTAAACATCTTACAGAGAGCTCAGAACAAGGTCCTCAGAAAAATACTGGACGCGCCCAGATATGTACCTAATTGGTTTGTTCATCAGGACTGCGGCGATCGGCCGGGCCGTTTCTTTGTAAATTGCAGAAAAGTAAAAAATTTTTCGTCCACGTTTTAGCCTACAATTCTGAATCGATTCTGAAAATTCAAAAACCATTCGATAGATATTGGTTGGGAATCGTGCTGATTAGTTTTTCGTAAAGATCGGCCGGGCCGTTTTCTTGTAATAAAGTTAAAAAAAAAATCGACGATTTTTATGATTTTTTTTTGACGGTAGATACCATAGTCTTCTAGGTCATACTAAAATATTATCGCCCTACGACAACTCGTTTAGCTTTAAAAATTTTTCGAAGTTTGCAAATATTGGCATCGTTTTTTTGGCATTTGTCAAAATTAGATATTTCATCGACGTTCGCTCAAAAACGCCTGAACCGATTTCATAAATTTAAAAGCCATTCGATGTATCTCAATGAGCACTATAGATTGTCAGTTTTGTGCGACGATCTGCCAAGTCGTCTCTTTGTAATTTGAAAAAATGTGTTAAAATTTTTGTCCACATTTAAGCTCATCCTACCGAACCGATTTTAAAAAATCAAAAACTGTTCGAAAGATATTAGTTGGGAATGATGCTGATTAGTTTTAGGTGAAAATCTACCGAGCCTATTTCTTGTAATTAACTGTTGAAAAAAAATTGAAGCCGATTTTTATGAAATTATTTTTAGCGATATATACTATGGTCTTATAGAACTTACTGAAATATTACGGCCTTACGACAAATAGTTTAATTTTAAAAAATCGTCAAAGTTTGAGAAAATGAGTAGTTCCTTTGACATTTGTTAAAATTAAAATTAGACTATTTACTTGGTATAATGATAGAGTACTTGGTCTTGAACATAATAAACCATTAAAGTCCTGGAAACTGGTTCATTTATAAAAATTATTGATTTTGGAAAATTTGCTTTTAAAAAATACTCTGAGTCAAAGTGTTCGTTCGTTTTCAATTATGTGTAATAAATCCACTCAGAATACTTTTAATGACTCATAAATTAATTTATTTTTTATTGATTAAGTTGATTATTTAAACATATCGGGAAGTTCATGTAACTTACCTCAAGGCTAAATACCAAACCAACTAGTTTATATTTATTATTTCCTTGTAATTATTTTCACATATTTACATTTATTATACAAACTTGAAATACTACCAATGCGTAGTATTTTAAAATTTTATTTTTATCTTAGTCACAACAGTTACTGAATGCCTTTTCAGGCAATTGTAGTTTGATAAAAACAAAATTTAAAAAAAATTATATTAAATTTAAAACTATATATATTTTGCATACATAAACTCAGTACAACATAAATGACTCATTTACATTTTTTTCAGATATGTTCTAACACCTCCCTTACGACCACCTCCTCCGCCGCCAGTGGCTGCAACGTTAAACATTCCGCCGGAAAGGCCCCAGTCGTCCGTTGCGATGCCTTCCGTGTCGCCGATTCTGATTTCCAGCAAACCATCAAGGTATGAACGTTCGAAGAGCGAAGCTCTGCTCGAGACCAATTTCGATGTCGAAGACGACGCGGTAGGGCCGAGCGAACCGCTCACGAAAGACTCGAGGAGTCAGAGTCAGCCACTTGAGACTGCAATGTAATAATAGAATTTGACGCGCGATTTATGCATAAATACGCGTTTATGTGATTTTAGACTAATTTATTAATTTAATTAAGATTCATGTTGTTTGGATAATCATCATTCCGTAAAGTATTTAATTATATACAGATAGTCCGTAAACTGATATTTTGGACACTACTGCCTCATTGTAGTTAACATGTTGACTGGCGTTTCTTTGGACTTTTCTATCTCGATTTCCTGCTGCTGAAACGTTTATTTCAAGAAATAGCTTTATTTGACCTTAACTCGGTTGTATGTAGTTTTTTTACTGATTTCAAAGTTTTACTGGGAAAATAGAAGCAATCGGCACTATGTGGACAGCGGCGCGGATTGACGTCACTATGTGGACAGCTATTTTTATTTATTATAAAAGTGTAAAAGTAACAATTTGTGAAGTCGAAAGTAACAATTGTCATTTAGGCTTACTATAAAATATTTATTTGTACATTTGCTTTTTGCTTGGTGCTTGACAAGATCGACCTGGGGGCTTATAACAGTAGATCTATATAAAGGGCGAGCAACCTTATTAACCTACGGGTTAATTTAAATATTCTGATGTTTCAATTAAATTGAAACTATTTGGTCCTAGTTTCAATTACTCTATAGATTCTATATAGTAATTGAAACTAGGACAAATAGTTTCAATTGTATTGAAACATCAGAAAACAGTAACTCAGTCGCGGGGACAAAAACTGTTCTTTGGGCCCTTCTTCTATAGATAGGATTCATTAACTAGTTTGGTGATAGATTTAAAGTAAATGTAGCATTGTCGATACTTTGTTTTCTTTCTTTCTTTTCTCGCAAGAGAAGAAAGAGAAGTTGTCAACACCTCGTCGACATCTTGTCGACCCTCTGTCGACACTTTGTCGATACCTTGTCGACACCTTGTCGATACCTTGTCGACACTCTATCGACGCCCTGTCGACACCTTGTCGACTTCCGCAGCCAACATGGTAAATATTATTTTAATTCGTAACAACAAAATATAATTATTAACAAAGTTAATAATTATATTATGTAACCTAGTTATTTGCAGCCAAATTGTGAAAATAAAGAACAATAAAATAAAAAGCACACACAAAATTAAACACATTGTTTTATGAAGAAGCGAAATGAAGTGAAAGAACAATAATAAAGTTATATAGTTAGTCACATGATTACCAACCATTTCAATTTGAAAATCATCTGACCAACTACATATTTTTATTATTTATATTTTAATATTTTAATTTATTTAAAGTTTATAAAACAATGATTGACACACAAATTTAGTGTGGGTTTTTCCTGGCTCAAGTTTATTAACTTGCTAAATGATGACACACATATTATACATATTAAATTATATATTATAATAATAAATAATATATTATATATTATACCATGTCGAAACGTACATATTGAATGGATAAATTATTTATTGTATTTATTTTGACTATTTGGCTGCAAATTAACATTTCAATGATAAATATTATATTTATTTCATATTTTATAAAAATATATTCGGCGCATAGTTTTGTTTTGAATCATAAACTAATAGTATTATATTAGCTTAATTACTTTGTTTTTATAACTAAGTACTAATTATTTTTACTTTATTTGAAAATTCTGTGTTAAAATTTTAATTTCTTTGATTTATTTCGTTTATCAGATGTGTGCACGTTCTGCATATTATTGTTATCCTAGACTGTATATATTTTTATATGAAACTATACTTTCTGACTGAGCAATTTATTTTTTGGAAGGTAAAAAATTATTTTACTTATATTTTCGAATTGATTTGTTGTTTTATTTTTCAAACCAATAATACTTATCCCAACAATAAATTATATTAAATGGTTTTGCAATGCATGTACGTAATTATGAAGAATTTATTGAACAATATAAAAATTGTCGTCAGTATATTATTAATATTAGGTAAAAAAAAAAAAATTTTACGTTTGTGGAGAATTTTAATGAAATTTTATATAATGAATATTTCATTGAACTGTTTCCTAAATAATAAAGTAACGAGAAAAATAATTTATATCATACGTAAACATACACAATAATCGCATTGTTTAATATCTTAACTAAGCAAATATTTATAGTCACAAAAACAATTGAGTTATTAATATTTTTACTCGAGATTATATTTTTATATCACAATTATATCATCATTTAAAGAAAGATAACAAGACTCAGGATGCCTTCATAGTATTTGTAATAATAAGAGACACATTTGATCGATTCGAATCGAATAATTGTTCTACTTATATCAAAGCAATATATTATTTATCATGAGTTTTACAAGTACAGTCATGTGTCTTATGATTGTATAAGCAAGTAGTAATTAGCCCAAAATATATACAAATATTTTGAAATCTAATTTTAAAATTCTGCGAATCATTATTGAATAATATTTTTGGCAAATGATTTGCAATATGTATATCGTATATCATACACCTGGGTGTGAGCAAGGCTTTTAAAAACTTTTTATTTAAAGAAGCAATGAAAAGCATTCGTCTATGACCAATTTACAATTATATTCTATATATTATCATTGCTCTTATTGTCTTCAGTTGCAATTAAGTAAAGTGTAGATTTTGGACATAATTCAATTAATTTGTTCAAAATCATGTTTCAATCATTTTGATAAATTTTGTGTAGAAATCCATTTCATACCACTCTGAGTGATAAATCTTGAAGCGAAAGTCGACTCACTGGATGTCGTCTATAGGCGACCTTATAGTATGCATAGTATTCTGAGTTAATTCTAATCATATCAAAAACAGATTTATTTATTTTTATCAATTCATAATATTAATGAGTTAGATATTCAGTATTAGTTGTCATTTTGATCACTTTTAAAGAGATTGCTCAAATACTTTGTTGTAATAAGATGACACGTTTTAGCCGGAACAGTCCCGGATTTCTACCATATTTTCCGGGGTTTTTTAAAAGCAATTTTTGATTCAAACCTTTTGTCCCAGATTGAGATTGTCCCGGTTTTTCGAAAATTAATAGGTGAATTTATAAAAAATATGAAAATAAACAACCAAGTAAATTTTGTTGAAATTTAAAATTTAAATTAATTGTGAAGAAATTGAATAGAATTTCATATAAAGCTCAAAAGTGAAACAAAACATTGAAAAAAATATAAGATATAATGTTATAGATAAAAAAATATTACATCTAATCGAATAATAAAGTTCTTACTGAAAGTCCGCAATTCCGATTTAAAAAAAATTGATTCAAATAAAAAATCTATTACACCTACTCCCCCTTCCGTCCCGGGTTAACATAAATAAAAATTTCCGTCCCGGTTTTGACTTAAAAAAATATGGTCACCTTAGTTCTACAAGAATAAAATTAAACCAATTGATAACGTTTTAAATAATTCTAGTTTATGTAAAAATTACCAATCACGTGAGGCTTGAAGTGGGAGGGGGTTTGACAAAAAATTACGAAATATCGCGTGGGGAAGAAGTGGAGTCTATAAAGATACACTTATATTCATTTTTATTATTAGTTTTTACCTAAATTTAAAAAAAAAACAAAATTTTCAATTTTATTTAGGTACTAAAAGATACGTAATGATTGGTGTGGGAGAGGGTAGTAATTTGGGCGTGATTAATGAGCGGCTTCTTATTTTAAGTTATATAGAGTTTCAGCTTATTTATTTGTTTTAATTTTGTAATTTTGTACGTTTACAGGCAATTTACAACGGACTTGATGTTTTGCACAAGCTAGGTAAAATTTCTGGTCTGTGATAACTAAGATGACCAGATTGTTTTAAGTCAAACTCAGGACAGAAATTTTTAGTTATGCTAATCCGTAACAGGAGAGGCGGAGTTTAAATAACAAAGGCTATTTAAGGATATAATAAAAACAGTTTTTTTATTTGAATCTTTTTTTCATAATTTAATTTGAAGCACTTGTAGAATTAAATCCGGGACAAATATCACTTTTAGAATAACCCGAGACACAAGGTGGAAATCCGGGACTGTCACGTAAAACCAGGACGTATGGTCACCTTAGTGATAATAGATAATGGAAATCTAATTATTTATTAAATTCTTTGTGGTCGAATCAGATGTATTGAAAAACGCTAAGTCCAATCTCGCCTTCAATCATTCAATAAATAATTCAAAGGCACCACTTAATTTTTATGTTCAGTCACAATGCATGGCCACGAGATAATATCAATCACTTTAATATAAAGCACAAGTAGCGCAACCAAATGCGAACGTCGCGACTAGTAAAAAAATTCACGGATTTTGCGAACGTCATTTATTGTGCAAAGATTGCGAGCCAAGAATCGTGCTTAGAAATTATAATGTCAGATTACTTGCACAAAACTGTTCAACAAGGCTTAAGACGATTTGCATTCGTGTTATTTATCATTTTTCCTAGCCAACTGTGCCTTAATTCATCATTACATATCATAGTTCAAGACGGGTTCACAAAAAAGTAGTTGCAAACATGAAATATATATTTTTATATATATTGCTTCAGTAAGCCTTTAATTATGATCAGTATATTCAAGTATTTTATTTATAAATATTCGTTTCAATATAATTTTAAATGTATGGCTTACCAAATTTTTGACAATGGTCTATGCGAAAAATATCTATCTAAATATACTTTTAATTAATTAATTATAATTATGACAGTATGCATCAATTACCTATCCTCCACTATGTTGGTTTTCGTGGTTCTTACTAAATATCATAAAAAAATTATATATGCTATAAACAAAAAAGTTTTTTGGTCAGACATTCATACAAATAATATATAGAGAGATATAAGTAATGAAATGTAATGTAGTTTGCATTATACATCTAAAAAAAATTAATGCAGTTCTATACGTTCCGAGTTGTCATTTGACTTTTTTCTGTGAAATATTATTAATAATAATGTATTACTAAATAATACACTTAATATTTTAACATAGTGACCTTAAATATTATAAAGTATGGTAAATCTAATGTTAAAAATTTATACAAAATTAATACAAAATGTATAAATCTAACAACAAAACATATATATGATATAAAAAATGAATGAACGTGAACAAAACTTGCATGCTCAAAAAGCGTTGTTTTTATCTATATACATCGTATATTTCAAAAATTTATTTTACATTCATACATTTTGGCTAAAAGCCTTCATTCAGTCGAATCTAAAAATAAAATTAAAAAC